CATCAGTCCACGGCTGGAAGCTGGAAGCTGGAAGCTTCCCCCCATTTTGCCCATCCCCTCCCTCCCAAGGCTCCTCCTCAAGGCTTCTGACACACAGTAGCCTCAGGACTGGGTGACAGCATAGCAGTGCAGGTCACTGTCAGCGGGACAGATGTGGCGGCCACACGTGAGGCCTGAAGCCAAAGGGATGCTGGTGGAAGGGTGGCCTCCTGAGAGACTGGCCAAGGCTTCAGCCTGGGGCCCTCTCCGCCTGAGGAGGCTGTGATGCTTGAGGAAGCAGAGCACCCGTGGCCTTGGCCACGGCTACTTGTTTCCTTGTTGGCTCACAGGCCTGTGCAACCCTGAGCAAGAAGGAATCAGGGAGGATGAGAGGAAGCCAGAGCCTCTTAACCTGGAGCGCACCTGCCTGCACGCAGCGTCCTCGCCCCGCACAGCTCCGACTCCTCCCCCCCCCCCCACAGATTTTCATTCAGTCTGAGAGTTTGCATTTCTTTTTTGTTTTTTAATGTTTATTTATTTTGAGACAGAGGGGCAGACAGGGGAGGGGCAGAGAGAGAGAGAGGATCCCAAGAGGGCTCCTCATAGAGCCTGACACAGGGTTCGAACTCATGAACTGTGAGATCATGACCAGAGCTGAAATCAAGAGGATGTTTAACCCACTGAGCCACCCAGGCGCCCCCGAGAATTTGCATTTCTAACGAGCTTCCCTGAGGGTGCTGATGCTGCTGGCCCAGGGACCACCCTTTGAGAAGCACTAGAGTCGGGGACCCATTCTGCCCATTTACTGCCCTGGTCCTTCATTGTGGGTGGTGCCCTTGACTTCTGGGTGTTCTCAGGGACGTTTGTCGCCAGCAGTGACACTGAGCTGACCGCTGTAAGGGACGGAAATATCCTGCCTGGCCCCATCCACAGGGATGGTTATCAAAGTCTGAAGTGACCGGGCCAAGCCGTGGCCCAGAAGGGACGTGCTGTGGCCCAGGCAAGCTGTGCCCTCTCCACTCTGGGAGACCCCAGGTTGCTTTCTGTCTGGTACTCACCTTCCCCAAGGCCCACCGATGTGCTCGAGAACCTGTCGCCTCCCACCCTGTGGCTCTGCTTGTCCTCAGTCGCTGTGTAAGAGCATGGTGCCCATCAAATTAATTTGCACTTGTTACACAGACTTGGTAATAACCTTGAAGTGTGTTCCTGGCCTTTCTGGACCAGCAGCATTCTAGGCCGGGAATTCAGGGCCTCCCATCTCTTTCTCATCTTTCCATGCTACTCAGTGTCGCGTTGACTCCAGGTGGCGGGGTGAGCTCACTAACTCCATTCTGGACTGAGTAACTGTTGTAATGGAGGAACTTAGAGCCCAGAAGTTGGACACTCTTGGGTCCAGTCATCTGTGGCTGAAATTCCTACCTGTGTAGAAGAAACTTTGGATTTTGATTCAGGGAGAGGGAGACGTGTCCAGTAACAGAATTTGTCGTGACTAAAAACCAGGCTTCTAAGCCCTGAACCATTGTTTTTTCTATTCTCCCCTCACTGTGTTCCTCTGGGAAGGGCTCTAAAAACAGCCGCAGCTTATCCAGGGAGATTTTTTTGCCCTGATGGACGGGCTGACTCCCAACAGGCAGCCCCTTCTCTTGGGTTTCAGTCCTCAGGGGTCTCCCGGATGGTGGCTGAGAGGAACTTAGCCCTGCTTTCCACAGGCACCTGCCTTGTAAGTTTAGAAGCAAGACAGGAGCTAATCAACCTTAGGGTATGGGATGGAGCAGTCTTCTCAGAATTGGGATTATGGAAGTTTCTGGAATTATCAAGTCTCCTCAGCCAGGGATTGATGCCCTTGGGAAAAGGAACAAAGAATAAACACGGCAGCAAAGTGAAAGCAGTTGGTTTAGCCTTTTCTAAGAACTCCCAAGATTACTTAGGACCAAAAGCGATTTGGGACTTTATTTGTAGAATCATTTAGACGGACACACTTAATCTCAGTAGTTTCTAAACCTGTTGCTGAGAAGCTAGTCGTCTAGAGTGGCTCTTTCTTCAGGTGTGAGGAGGAACTGATGTATTACCTGTGACAGTAAGACTTGTAAGTAACACTCCACCCACTTTCAACTATGTCTGATGGTGTAGACAGTCCAGCGACACTATGTTCAGAATGCTCATGGGGCGCCTGGGTGGCTTAGTCAGTTAAGCATCCGACTTTCGCTTAGGTCATGATCTCGCGGTTCATGGGTTCGGGCCCCGCGTCGGGCTCTGTGCTGACTGCCAGCTCAGAGCCTGGAGCCTGTTTCAGTCTGTGACTCCCTCTCTCTCTGACCCTCCCCTGCTCATACTGTCTCTCTCTCTCTCTCCTAGAAATAAATAAAACATTAAAAAAAAATTAAAAAAAAAAAAAAAAGAATGCTCACCAGCAAGCAAAGCCCAACAGTGCCCTTCGAGAAACCTTGTGTCTTAAAATGTTGTCAGACTTCGGGCGCTGGGGGGCTCAGTTGGTTGAGCGTGCAACTTCTACTCAGGTCATGATCTCACACTTCAGGGGTTCGAGCCCCACGTTGGGCTCTGTGCTGACAGCTCAGAGCCTGGAGCCTGCTTCAGATTCTGTGTCTCCCTCTTTCTCTGCTTCTCCCCTGCTTATGCTCTGCCTGTCTCTTTCTCTATCTCAAAAATAAATAAACATTTTAAAAAATTTAAAAAAATGATGCCAGACCTATAGGAAGAGGAGAGAGAGCCCCCATGTCCTGTCCCCACATTCTCTCTGCGTTAGCCTTTTGCCCCCCACACATGCTGCCCGTTATTTTCTGAATCACTGGAGAGTAGTTTGTACACATCATGTCTCCTTACTTTGTACATCAGGACATTTTTCCTAAGAGCAAATATGTTCTCTTGCATCACCGCAGGAGAGGTGCACACGCAGCACGTGTGACAGTGACACAGTAATGTAACATCCAGTCCACACTCCAGATTTATTGGTTGTCTCTGTAGTGTCTGTCAGGGCACCTTGACCCCTTCGGTCTGGGATCCAGGCCAGGACCCTGGCCTGCGTGTAGCTGTCCCAGCTCTAGTCTCCTCTGATCTGGGTCAGTATCTTTCCCCTCCTGTCTCCTGTGACATTGACATTTTTGGAGAACACGTGCCTTCTTTTTCTTTAAGTCGGAAGTGCCTCAAGTGGGGGGTTCCAGATGTTTCATTGAGATCAGGTTTAGGGTGTGGATCCCTGACACCACATCGTTGTCAGAGTGTCCCATGTGGAAGCCCACGGTGTCCACATGCCCCCTCATTAGTGATGTTAATTTTGGTCACTCAGGCACGGTGCTACTCTGTTTCTTCACTTAACGTGTCTTCCTTTTCCACTGACAAGCATCCAGGAGAGATTCTGAGACCGTGCAAGCACCCTCTTCCTCATCAGCCTCTCCCTTAACATTTATGATCAGCAGGTGCCTTTTGCTGAACCATCCTTTACTATGGTGGCTGTAAAATGGTGATTTTTCTTCCCCCACCACTCTCTCCGCATTTATCCGTTGGTGTTCACCTATAAGGAAAAGCCCTCCCTTCTCCCCTATCCACCTGCCCACCTCTCTGTCCACTCACTCAGCCAGCCAGCCAGCTGGCTCTCATCTGTGTAGATTCATGAATTCCTGTTTTATTATCAGATTATAATCCATTACTGTCCTTTCTAGTTCAGTGATCAAATTGTCCCAGATTGGTCCAGAGAGAGCCTTCCAATCTGCCTCCAGTAACAATATGTAGTTGGTTTTATTCATTTTGAGAGAGAGAGAGAGAGAGAGAGAATGAGCATGAGTGGAGGAGGGGCAGAGAAAGAGAGAGAGAATCCGAAGCAGACTCCATACGCACTGCTAGCACAGAGCCCAACACCCATCTGGAACCCATGGACCATGAGATCATGACCTGACCCGAAACCAAGAGTCAGATGCTCAACCAGCTGACCCCCCAAGCGCCCCATAACAATATGTAGGTTTAAATTTGTTTTTTAAACTTTTTATTTTAAATAGGTAATTCTAAATAATAAGGCAAATTAGTTTGCAGGTAGCCATAACTCAGGTTTTGGGGAGGGAGGTCAGGGTCCCCGGAGTTGCAGAAGAGGCTGAGAAGTGGTTTCTTGCTCCCTGATTGGCTTAGCCTCACCTCTGCTCTGCAGGTCTGACATGGGCCTCATGGGCTGACCCTGAAGTTTCTCTTCTGCCTTTGGAAGAACTCCAGCTAGGGGAGTTCTAGTGTTAATTTTTTGAGGACCCTCCACACTGTTTTCCAGAGCAATAGCACTGCTGGGAATTTACCCAAGGGACACAGGAGTGCTGATGCACAGGGGCACAAGTACCCCAATGTTCATAGCAGCTCTCTCATCAATCGCCAAATCACGGAAAGAGCCTAAGTGCCCATCACCTGAGGAATGGATCAAGAAGATGTGGTTTATCTATACCATGGAATACTGCATGGCAATGAGAAAGAATGAAATCTGGCCATGTGTAGCAACACGGATGGACCTTGAGGGTGTTATGCTGAGCGAAATAAGTCAGGCAGAGAAGGACACATACCATATGTTTGCACGTATAGGAGGATTAGGAGGAACTTAATGGAGGACCATGGGGGAGAAGAAGGGGGGAAATAGTGGGGGAGAGGGAGGGAGGCAAACCATGAGAGACTCCTGAATGCTGGGCAGATGGGGGTGGGGGGAGAACATGGGGGGTGATGGGCATGGAGGAGGGCACTTGTGGGGATGAGCACTAGGTTAATATGGAAACCAACTTGACAATAAACTGTTAAAAAAGAACTCCAACCGGCGCGGTCCATGCTGCATTAGGACCAGGCTGCAGCATGTACAGCCGGGCTTGGGCTTTGAGACCTGAGTTCGGGGCCGGCCTTCCTGATCTGTGAATAGGTCACGGAGGGGGCGAGAGGCTGCCACGTGCAGCCTGGCTGGCCGGGAGGGGCCGTGGGAGGACCATCATTCCCTGGGTTCGTGGAAGAGGAGGAACCGCTAGTATTATTTCTCTTTGTTTTAGGTTGGCTCTCATCATCTGAGACTCAACAGAGGCCTGGAAGCCAACGCCCCTGCTTTCGACAGGTAGGATTGTCTGGGACCATCCTTGGGAGTCTTGCCTCCCATCAGACAGCGGCCCGAGGGACAGCGTGCAGGGGGAGGGGCCTGCCCCAAACCCCGGCCTGCATCTGCCTTTCACTTTGGTTCTTTGTACAAGAAGGGGGTTTTCAAAATGCGATATTTAGTGGCTCTCAGGTTTCCCTGAAAGTTCATTACTACTGAGGTTACACTTGGCAGTTATTTTATCTTACCAGTTCCTTCTTAATGAAGCTTTATTCCTTTGTCCTAGTTAACAAGGGATAATCTATAGGATATTTGTAGCTGCTTGGTTTTCTTTTAAAAGTGATATATTTCAAGACTTAAACAAACGGTAGTATAGAAAGGTATAAAGTGAGAAGTTAAAAAGTATTCTAACTTCCAATTCCCACTACTAAAGATTTCACTATTAGTTTTTACATAGCATTCTAGAAGAACATTGGGCAGATGAGATTTCATTTTCTTCTTCTTTTTTTTTTTAATGTTTATTTTTGAGAGAGAGAGAAAGCACAAGCAGGGGAGGGGCAGAGAGAGGGAGACAGAGTGCCAACCTCGAACTCACAAACCACAAGATCACGACCTGAGCTGAAATCAAGAGTCAGATGCTTAACCAGCTGAGCCATCCAGGCGCCCCTAGAGTTCGTTTTCTAAACCACAGGCTGGACCCTTACACATTCACTGTCACACAACTTGCTTAAGAACAGCCGTCGCTAACCTAAACAGTAACTTGTATTTGACGTGGTCCATCGCTTCTAAAAATATTGGTGATTTTGATCTAAATACTAATTTAAAAAATTAGTGAATGTCATAAAAATGCCAGGAGTGATTTTTTTAAAACGTTTCAGTCGTTCTGCCTGAATCTCGATCTGGACCTTCAGTCCACGTGCACACTTGCTGCTTTCCACAGATGGGTAACAGCAGCTCGGCCGTGACCCCCGGTGCACACGTTAACAACCAGTGACCTTTCCCTCTGAGGACACGTGAAGTCTGCTGATGCGGATGCTGTTGCCTGCGTTCAGACCACTCTTAACGTGTCCTGTGCACTGTGTGCATGGAGACCCTGATCTGCATTCCATTTTCTCAGGAAACAGAAAACATAGTGGAAAATGTCCTTGCCCCCGAGCTGACCATAAGTAAGTAGAAAGGAAGACACCTGCTCGCTGGGCTTGTTTCAAAAGCCTTGTGTTTATGGGCTTTTAAAAACTATGTATATATTTTAGAACATTTACACCCACTTCAGCATTGTTAATTCTTGCTAGCATGTGGTGTGTGCACCCAGGGGGATAAGCACCCTTTTTTCTCAAGGAGCCCCTTCAAGACTGTAAGCCCTTTGGGGCGCCTGGGTGGCTCAGTCGGTTGTGTCAGACTTCGGCTCAGGTTGTGATCTCGTGGTTCTTGAGTTCGAGCCCCGCGTTAGGTTCTGTGCTGACAGCTCGGAGCCTGGAGCCTGCTTCGGGTTCTGTGTCTCCCTCTCTCTCTGCCCCTCCCCTGCTCACGCTCTGCCTCTCTCTGTCTCTGTCAAAAATAAACATTTAAAAAAAAAAAAAAAAGGACTGTAGGCCCTTTGACCACTGAAAATGTGGCTCACTGCGCTTTGTTCCTAAAGCTTTCTGGCCGGAGGCAGCCGAGACCACGTGCACTCACGGGGCAGGAGCTGCCTGGCCTCTCACTGGGTGCTGCCACGATGCACTCATTTCAGTCACGCGTGGGAGCGCAGGCACCCGATTCTCTAGCAGATCCACCGTGGTGGGTGCCGGGGGTCCCCCTGAGGAGCTGAGCTGGGGGTCCCTGGAGGTGCCCCCTGACACATCTGGGAGCTCTTAAGAGTTTCTCTGTTCTTCGATGTGCTTGGTCCAGAGTAAGTCCCTTACGCGCCCACCTGCCCCCACACAAACCCCGTTCCCTGGGTGGTTTCAGCCCCCAGAACACCTGTGGCCAGTGCCGTGCATCCGGTAGGTTCTTCACGGTTGCCTCTTGCCCACCTGCCGTCTGTGGGAGGGAAGGGGCCCCTCTGGCTGTGCGGGCCTGAGGAGGGTCTTGTCTGCTGGTAGAGTTTGGATGGAAGCATTAGCCCCTTCACCGGGGCGGTGCCTGGGTCTCCCCGGTGGGGACGCTGGACCCCTGCTCCTTCCTCCCCCTCTGTGCTCCGAGCCGCCCACATCTGCAGTCGCAGGGTGGACACCAGGCTGTGTTTCCCTGCTGGCCCCTCACCTCTGCCCTCGGTGTGAGAAAGACGCTGTCAAACAGAACCCAACGTGACTTCTAATTTCCCAACCCCCAACCCCAGGTTTTCCGCGGAGCTCCGCGCAACAGTGAGATGGGCATGCAGGGGTAGGGCCCTGGGTGTGCAGAGCAGGGAGGCCAGGCGGAGTCTCTTACTGGCCTCAGTGTGGGCTCCCACCCCCCCACCCCCAGCCCTGAGGTGAGTCTTAGCTTATCACCGATCGGCGTATTACCACCTTCAACATGAAAAGGAAGGAAAGAAAACCCAACTCCTGTGTACCAGGCGCTGTGCTTGTCACTTTTCTTTGTCCTTTTAGTGCTTAAAACATTTTTTTTGTGACGGAGGCTTAGCTTTCTGGTACAGAGGACTCGCTCAGAGGGGACGAGTGAATTAATCGGTGGTGCTTGGGCTGCGGACATGAGTGATGACCCACCCTGTTGCTCTCCCAGCTCTGGGTTTGGAGTCCGTTGTGACGCAGGTGCAGGAGCTGGCAGGGGGGGCGGGGGGTGTCACACGGCACCTGGCGTCTGACGGGCCGCGCTGTGGGAGGCAGCTTGCACACGTGGCCACGGCGGGCTTCCTCGCACTTCAGCCTTGAATCACGGTGCCCACTCGGTGGCCGGCAGAGCTGGGCAGCTCAGATTTGCCCCCCAGCGCGGAGCCTCCTCCCCTTTGGCTCCGCGTGGCTGACCTCTGGCCAGGACGCGGCTTCCCCAGGCCCGCGGACCCAGGAGAGCCCGGAGGGGCTGAGCCACGTGCCTTCCGTTTCTTCTGGGACCTTCACCGGGGCTGCTCCTGGGGACAGAGCATGGGCTTGTGCAGCGGCCCTGACTGCGCCGATCCAATGAGCTGCACCTCTTCCTGGGACAGGGGATGGGGGGCCGCAGGGAGGGCAGGCTGCCAGGGGCATCACTAGAGAATTCCTCCACGTGGAGCCAGGAGCTCATCCTCAGCTAGTCAGCAGACGACCTGCATTCACAGTGCCCCGTTCAGGATCCATATCCACCTATACTCTGCTAATCCCTCAAAGTTGGCAAGGGAGAATTTTCTTTTCCTTTATTGGGCTAAACTTGGCTCTTTCGTGCTAATTAACTTAAAATGGGTTTATAAAACCCATTTTTTTTATAAACCCATATAAGATGGGTTTATAAAAGAAACCTGTCACCCTAGAAATTTGGAAAACTCAAGAGTGTATAAAGAAGAAAAAGAATTTTAAGTCACGTAAAATTCCACCGTTTTTACCAGTGTGTGGTGTGCCATCTTCTAGCCTTTTTTCCATATTTAGGCGTAAAGATGGCATGAAGAAAATACAGTTTACATCTGCTTGTTGCATTGTCTTCCCCGTGTTTTTTAAATTATACTTAAGCATTCCTACCATGATTAAGATTATAGAGTTAACTTTTCAAAAGCTAGTAATAAAAGATAAATATTCATCTCTCCTGAATATTTCAACATTTGTATTTTTAAAAGTCCCTGATCTATGAATATTTTCCTAAAGCTTAAAATTTTACTGTGCCTTCTTGTTTGGGTTAAACGTGATGAAATATAGCACTTAGTTAAACGTTAGACACTGAGGTTAATAGCCCCCCACACCAGCTTTTCTAGATTAGGTACCAAGTGACATTAGGAAGGTACCAAGTGACATTAGAGATTCATTTCACAGACGCGCATGTTGCCTGTATGAAGCTCTCTTAGCTGTTCTAGATCTAATGATGGAACTTTACAGAAAGTCCGGCATCTCCTTTGTCTCGTGTTCTGCTTGTTGAGAAGTCTGATATGCTGTGAGTTCTTCTCGGCCTGAGCCTTTCATGCACATAGAGAACAGCTCAGCCTGGACCACTGGTGCCACACAGGTCGCTCCTGTCCCCTCTCCCCTCGAGGGCAGAGCTGTCGGTTTGTGTCCTGGTGCCGCAACTCATGGTGCCGCCCTGTTCCATTGCAGGCACATGGTGCTTCTGAAGGAGCAGTATGGGAAGCAAGTGGTCGTGAACCTGCTGGGGAGCAGAGGCGGAGAGGAGGTGCTCAACCGAGCCTTCAAGGTAAACGCCCCGGGGGTGTGGGGTGAGGGAGATGAGGGGCCCCTGCCCAGAGGCAAGGCTCCTCACCGTGTCTGGGGAGTTTTCTCCCACCAGCTCCGCATCCTTCGGCGATTTGGGCTCCTGATGTATGAAATTTAACGTTTGTGAACTGATGGTTAGAGAATTTGCTCAAAGTCAAAACACAGCCTCTCCCTCCTCCAGCTGCATTTCCCCCAGACTCGCCCTGGGGCTCGGAGGGTTCTGCATAGCTGAGCCAGCCCTTTGCTTGGCTTTCTTGGACACACATACACCCGCGCTCGTTTGGGCTTCGCCCGCAATCCCCGACTGCTCAGGGCGCCTGAGCTCCCCCTTCAGTGCTTGCTGCTGGCCAGCGCCCCCTGGCGAGCTCACCCAGATGCCCGCGGAGCTCGGGGTGTAATGCTGTGCAGGGCTCCTGCTCACTTTAAAGTGGAGAATCATACATGATTTCCTGCTGCTAACTTCAGCCTTCAAGTCTTCCATCCCTGTCTGGGCCGCACCTGAAAGCGGCTTCCTTTGCCTGGCTCCCCACGGGCTCCCTGAGGCTGTCTGGGCACTTTTGGGACTGGTGGCGGGGGAGGGGCCTACGCAGGGAAGGAAAGAGAGGCCTCCTTGTTCCCAGAGTCTAATACGTGAAAAGTTCCAGAATGAGCTCCACGCCCCTGTCCCAGGGCCCATGTCCCCCATTTAACAGAGAGAAGCCCTCTGGTTGTTCCAAGGTCAAGGAAGCTGCATGCGGGGAGAGTGAAATCGGACCTCTCCTCCTGGGAAACCTCACGGAAGGAAGGCGGTGTTTGCTGCCTTCCTGACCCCTGACCTCTGGCCCTTAGTTGCTGAACCCAGTGGGTGCTTGGAAAAGCCATATGCTCAGAGCAGACTTTCTGATGGCCAGTTCCACTTGGCCAGACCTGCTTTTCCTGTTTGGTGTGTTGCCGTTGGCAACACGCTCCCCGAGTAGCCTCCCCCCCACCCCCCACCATCCTGGCAGCAACGGTGACAGCTTACTTTAAGGGATCAGTAGAAAACCCAAGGATCTCTTTTCTCTTTATGTAATGAGCTGTGGGGAGAGGACATCCTTAGCAGTCCCCAGCAGCTGGTGGCACTGTCCCCTCCCCTGCTGACAGGCTCCTCTGTCACTAGTGGGGCGGGAGGCAGCCGTGGTCCAGTGGCCCGGGAGGAGGTGGATGCCACCTGGAGGTGACCGGCACCGGCTGGTGTCACATAGAGCTGTGGCTCCCGAGGCCCCGAGGCCCTTGCACCGGCTGCCAGCTTGTAACCTGCCGTCCTCAGGCCACAGCGGGACAAGGTGCTCGCCCCAAGATGTAAAGTCGCTAGAGGTACGCTAGTCAGCTCCGCGGACTTCTTTTCCGCAGTGAGACGTTCCTGATGCCCAGAGCCAGGCGCTGATCGGCCTCTGGCTCACAGTGGGTGGGCACTTTGAGTTGGAGGGACCGCAAGCCTCGAAGTCCGTCTAGTCTTTCAGGGTCATTAGACTCTCTGGACAAGTCTGACCTGAAGCGACGCAGGAGGGCCCGGGGTGGGACAGGCCAGGGACCAGGAGCCCTGACGAGGCCCCCGTTCATCTTCCACCAGCGGGCTCTTGAGAGAGCTAGGGAGTTGCGGGGAAGGTTCCTCGTGTGGAAGGGAGGCCTCTGTCGGGAGCGCGGAGCTGCCGGAGCCCACCTGCTGTGGGTCTCTGGCCCCGCGTCCCCTCCAGGCCGTGTGCCAGCCTGGGCCCGCTGGCCCTGACCGCCCATCACCCCCACCCTGCAGTTTCGCTGGGCTGTGTCCTGGCACCTCCCCTCACAGGGACCCAGAGGCCCTTGATGGGAGAATCAGACACCTCTGAGCCCACCCACCTGAGGCTTGCGCTTGTCAGGATGGGACTGGTTACCATGGCAACAGGGAGCTGGATTATGAGCTCCACAGCCTGCTGGGCCAGCCCTTCCCTGACGGCCCGGGGGCTTGGGTGCCCGCAGAGCAGACTGGTCCTTCCATCATCAGCGGGAGGGTGATGTCCGTACGGGGCTGTGAGCTGCCCCGGGAAGCCCGACCGCCTCTGGCTGCGCTTTGCCCGGGGTGGGCCTTCTGCCCCTCTGCAGGCAAGATGCTCTCTGCCGTATGGTCCTCCGGGTCTTTGCTCTTCCCTCGGGATCTGGGCCAGTAGACGGCTTGGGCCGCCATATGCCTTAAGGCTGACCCGCGTGCCCGAGTGAGTGCCTTGGGCGGCCCCACGGGCTCCACGCTGCGCCCTTCCCCTCTTTGCGCTGACACCCTCCCCCTTTCCTCTTTCAGAAGTTGCTCTGGGCTTCTTGCCACGCCGGCGACACGCCTATGATAAACTTTGACTTCCATCAACTTGCCAAAGGCGGGAAGCTAGAGAAGTTGGAGAACCTGCTGAGGCCCCAGCTGAAGCTCCACTGGGATGACTTTGATGTGTTCACCAAGGGCGAGAATGTAAGTCCACGGTGAGTCTCCACCTGCGTCTTCATGCTCCTGCCTGGTGACTAGCGGGGGGTGGAGGGGGGGGCTCCGGGGCTGGGCGCCCCCCTTGCCACTCTGCTGCCCTTGCAGTTTCCTGGAGCACAGACTCAGGGATGTGTGGGGTCCTAGGTTCCAGCCTCCTCCTTCCCACCATCAGAACATGGTCTTGAAGTTTGTAAGATGGTAAAGCACGGTTTTCTGGCAAAATAAATTATTCATAAAAGGACTAGGTTAAAACGTGGAGTTATGGTGACCATAGAACTTACTGTCCAGGGGCGCCTGGGTGGTTCAGTCGGTTGAGCATCCCATTCTTGATTTCAGCTCAGCTCATGATCTCCTGGTTCGTGAGTTTGAGTCCCATATTGGGCTCTATGCTGATAGCACAGAGACTGCTTGGGATTCTCTCGTTCCCCCTCTCTCTACCCCTCCCGAATAAACATTAAAAAGAAAAAGAACTTATCATCCAAACTGATGAAAGCCCATGTGAGTGAGAGGGACAGCTGGTGTGCGCCCCATTGGCTGAGGACACTGGGGTGTGGGCTGAGCAGGAAAAGGAAGCCTGCTTTCCTCAAGTCACAATGCGGTCCGTCCTCGTTATTCAAAGACCTTGTATTTGCAGATTTGTCCACGCACTAAAATTTTAAACATTTTTTAAAACATTTATTCATTTTTTGAGAGACAGAGCACAAGCAGGGGAGGGGCAGAGAGAGAGGGAGACACAGAATCCGAAGGAGGCTCCAGGCTCTGAGCTGTCAGCAGAGAGCACGACGTGGGGCTTGAACTCACGAACTGCGAGATCATGACCTGACCAGAAGTCGGACGCTTAACCACTGAGCCACCCAGGCCCCTCTACTCACGAAAACTTATTTGTAACCCCCAAAATCCATCCTCTGGCCCTGTCCTGGTCGTCACAGACCTGCTCAGAACCGCGAAGAATTGGAGTCACTTGGGGAGCAAGTCTCCCTTCTGTTTCAGTGCTTCTACTAGCAAGTGTCTTTTTGTGATCCACTTGGTGCCACGTGGTCACGTTTTTACTCATTTTATTGGTGATTTCACTGTTTTAAATGGCCCCAGACATGGTGCTGAGGGCCATCCGGAGTTTCCAGGCATAGGAAGGCTGTGTGACGTGCCGAATGGGGAAAAAGCGTGTCATGGAGAAGCTTTGTTTGGGTCGGTTACAGTGCTGGTGGCTGCGAGCTCAGTGTTAATGAATCGACAGTCTATACTAAGGTGCCTTTATACAGAAATACACATAAAACAAGGTTACATCTCAATTGCTGATGAAAATGTGTGAGCAGAGACTCGCGGGAACCTCACCCCTGGGAGGTTCCTCTTGCTAATCTGCTAATGGTTCAGTTCACAAATTGTTCATGGCTACTTTCTGGAATGTAACTATGGCAAATAACAAGACCTGGTGTATTTTATAACGACCAGGTGTGCAGGCTGCCGAGAGGATGCGTGCCACTCCAGCCGTGCTGGGGTCCCTTGGTGTCTGCTGGGGATTCTGGGGGGCTACTCTGTTAGGTGACTCTGGGTACCATTCCGTTTGGGAGTCTACAGTCAACCTAGGCCATTGTTGTATGACCATCGTTCCTCCGACCTCAACTTGTAACCATTTGCCTTTCTTGTTTTCCTAAGTCTTCAGAAAGGCACTTTGCGGATGAACTGTCTTGATTGTCTGGACCGAACAAACACCGTGCAGAGCTTTATTGCACTCGAGGTCTGTCCCTGCATCGCGAAGCCCCTTGGGCCACTCGGGTCACGTCCCCTGCCTTCCATCGGCAAGATGAGGGCAACAGCACTGGGCTAACTTTCTAACTGAGGAGGTGGGCGGAGACGTGGCAGGCACCCGAGAGAGCTGTTCCTGTGTGGCTGGCTTGCCTGTACCACACTATGCCCTTGCCCCACGTAGAGGCACACTTTTTGGAACGCATCCCAGAGGCGGTGGCGCAGAGGTGCCGGGTGCCACCTTGAGAAACAGTAGTTCTGAGTCATGATTAGTGTGAATATACGGTTTGGCAAGGGCAGCGTGAGGCTGGCTGAGGCTGGATCTGAAGCCTAGGAGGGAGACCGGAGTCTGCCTCGTGGCCCACTGGCCCAGTGCCTAGGTGACGTCTCCTGGCTCACTGCTGGGAGGAGGGGTGGAGTCACTTGCTTGCTCTCCACCCCTCTGCCGGTCAGGGGTGGGGTTTGGGGAGGAGGTCAGGAGTCAGGGGGCCAGAGGAGGGCTGGTGGAATGCTGAAGACAAAGTTGGATAAAGTTGGGGTGAGTTGTGCTGGGAAGTTGTTCTTTGCCACAAGCATTCCTCATTCTCTGGAGGGGCATAGGGTGATCCACAATCTGCCACATGAGGAACTCATGGGGACGATGCCTGGTGACATTCACACGAGGCAGCGGTGGGGCTGGGAGCTTCCAGGTGAGCAGACGGCGACATCTGTCTCTTACTTCTTATCCAGGTCCTTCATCTGCAGCTCGAGAGCCTAGGGCTGAATTCAAAGCCCATTGCTGACCGCTTCGTGGAGTCCTTCAAAGCCATGTGGTCTCTGAATGGGCACAGCCTGAGCAAGATGTTCACGGGCAGCCGGGCCCTGGAAGGGAAAGCCAAGGTAGGGGCAGACCACAGTGGGCGAGGGAGGGCCGGCGCGGCTCCCTCTCACAGCCTGTGGCTTGGCTCACGGCAGGTGGGGAAGCTGAAGGATGGGGCCCGGTCCGTATCTCGCACTATCCAGTCCAACTTCTTCGAAGGGGTGAAGCAGGAGGCCATCAAGCTGCTGCTGGTGGGGGATGTCTACACGGAGGAGTCTGCAGACAAAGGAAGGGTGCTCCTGGACAACACGGCCCTGCTGGGTAAGGGGCTCCCATTTTGCCATATGGAGGTGTCCAGCTACCCTGCCGCACAGAGGGAGTATGTGTGTGTTGGTGGTGGGGGGCCAGGGTGGTGCTGGCCAGCCCTTCCCACTCCTCCCTGTGCGATCCCAAGCGGCAGGTAGCAGGTGCTCCGCTGAGCTGAGCTTCCTTGGCCTGCACTTCTGGCCCATGGCTTCAGCCTGAGCAGCTTACAGCTGTGATTTATATCTTCTGAGATGGTCAGTCGTGTGCAGCCACAAGAGGAGGCTCGGGAAAAAACAAAGTTTATTCTTCAGAAGAAACAACTGATAGACCGAGAATGAAATGATGGAGAAAGATGTTTTATGCAAATGAGAACAAAAAGAAAGCTGGTGTAGCTATACTCCTAGCAGAAAAGAGAGACTCTTTCAAAAAAAGACTAATAATAGACAAAGAAAGGTATTAACTAATGATAAAGAGGTCTGTTAAACAAGATACAACAGGTATAAATATATATACTCCAAACAAAAGCACTAAGATATGTAAATATAACAGACCTAAAGGGAGACGTTGACAACAATACAAAAATAACAAGGGACTTTAATACCCCATTTACATCAGTGGGTAAATCATCCAGACAGAAAATGAATAACAAGATAATGGCCTTAACACGTTAGACAGATGGACTTAACAGGCATAAACAGAATATTCCACCCCAAGGCAACAGAAAACACATTCTTCTCAAGTACAGATGGAACATTCTTCAGGATGCATCATATGTTAGGCCAGAAAACAAGTCTTAATAAATTCAAGAAGATAGGAATCATATCAAGCATTTTCTCTGACCACAATGGTATGAAACTAGAACTCAATTACAAGAAAACTGGGGGAAAAAAACACAAAAATGTGAAGATTAAACAACATGCTACTGAAAAACCAATGATGGGTCAGCAAAGAAATCAAAAGATACCTAGAGACCAAAACAAAACAAAAAACAACATATCAAAATCTTTGAGATGCAGCAAAAGCACTTCTATGAGGAAAGATCATAGCAACACAGGCCTACCTCAGGAAACAAGAGAAATCTCAAACTATCTTTATAACTGAAGGAACTAGAAAAGGAAGAAGAAATGAAGCCCAAAGTCAGTAGGAGGAAGGAAATAATTAAAGAGTGGAAATAAGTGAAATAAGAGATTTAAAAACAGTAGAAAAGATTTATAAAACTAAGAGTTCATTCTTTGAAAAGATAAAACAAAATTGATGCATTTTTAGCTTAGACCAACAAAGAAAAAAGTTGCTAATTGGAAACAAAAGAGGAAGAATTACAGCGGACACCACAGAAATACAAAGGATCATAGGAGACTATTGCAAAAGATTCTGTGCCGTCAGACAGCCTAGAAGATATGGATAAATGCCCTTCTTCCAAGACTGAATCATGAGGAAATACAAAATCCAAATAGACTGATTGCTAGTAAGGAGATTGGATCAATAATCAAAAGCCTCCCAGCAGCAGCTCCTGGCTGGCTCAGTTGGTAGAACATGCAAATCTTGATCTCTGGGTTGTGAGTTTGGGCCCCATGTTGGGCATAGAGATTTTCAAAAACAAAATAGAGTGGCTGAAAATTAAAAACAAACAAACAAAAAACCCTTCCAACAAACATAAGTCCGTGACCCGAAGGCATCACTGGTGAATTCTACGGAACATTCAAGATAAGATTTAATACCTGTCCTTTTCCACTCTTCCAAAAAATTGAAAAGGGGGGAATTCTTCCAAACTGCTTTTATGAGGCCATCATTACCCTGATACCAAAACCAGACAAGGATGCCATGTGCGTGTGTACACACACGCACGCGCGCACACACAAACAATTGCAGGCCAGTATCACTGATGAACACTGATGTAAAAATTTGCAATAAAATATCAACAAAGTGAATTCAACAACACATCAAAAGGGCAATTTACCATGATCAAAAGAGATTTATTCCAGTAATGCAGGGATGGTTCAACAGCCACAAATTGGTCAACTGAAATACCACATTAACAAAATGAAGGATATAAATCCTGTTGATCATCTCAATAGATAGAGAAAACGCATTTGACAAAATTCAGCATCCATTTCTGATAAGAACTCTCAACCATGTGGGTATGGAGGGAATTTACCGAAACGGACTGAAAGTTGTGTAGAACAAACCCACAGCTAACCACAGACTCGATGGTGAAAAGCTGAAAGCTTTCCTTCTGAGAACAGGAATATAACAAGGATGCCCGCTCTTGCCACTTTTATTCAGTATGTATTAGAAGGCTAACCCACAGCAATTAGACAAGAAGAAAAGGCACCCAAATTAGAAAGTCTCTATTTACAGATGACATATTATATATACAAAACCCAGAAGACTCCACCAGAAAACTGTTAGAACTAATAAATGAATTTAGTGAAGTACCAGGATATAAAATCAACATACAGAAATCTGTGGTGTTTTTATACGTTAATAACAAATTACCAGACAGAACAATTAAGAAAACAATTCCATTTATAATTGCATCAAAAAGAATAAAATATCTAGGGATAAATTTAACCAAGGAGGTAAAAGACCTATACTCTGTAAGATACTAATAAACAAAACTGAAAAAGAGGCAAATAAATGCAAAGATATTCTATGTTCATAGATTGGAGGAATTCATATTGTTAAAATGTCCATACTACCCAAAGCAATCTACAGGTGCAGTGCAATCCCTATCAAAATTCCAGCAGCATTTTTCACAGAGCTAGAACAAATAATTCTAAAGAATCTTCTTGAGAAAGAAGAACAGAGCTGGAGATATCAAGCTTCCTGATTTCAAACTAAAGTCTAAAATTATAGTAAAACAGCATAGTTTGGGCACAAAAAAAGGACACACAGAACAGTGGAACAGAATTGAAAGCCCAGACTGAAACCCACATATATACAGATAGGAAATTTATGACAAAGGAGCCAAGAGCATGCAATGGAGAAAGAGTCCCTTCAATAAATGGTGTTGGGAAAACTGGACAGCCACATGCAAAAGAATGAAACTAGACCACTGTCTTACACTGTACACAAAAGTCAACTCAAAATGTAAGACCTGTACTTGTAAAATTCCTAGAAGAAAACACAGGTGGTAATATACGTGTTCATAACACACACACACACACACACACACACACACACACACACACACATATGGATCTAACTCTAAAACAAAAGCACAAATAAACAGATGGGATTACATCAAACTGAAAAGCTTCTGCACAGGGAAAAGAATTGTCATCAAAATGAAAAGGCAGCCCTACTGAATAGAAGATTTTTGTAAATCCTGTGTTGGATTAGGGGTTAATATCTAAAATATGTAAAGAAATTCTACAACTCAACGACAAAACCAGACAACCTGATGAAATAAAATGGGCAGAGGATCTGAATAGACAGAGTATTTCTAAAGAGGACATAGATATGACCAACCAGATGTTCAGCGGCACTCATTACTAGGGGATGCAAGTCAAAACCAAAATAAGGTATAACCTGGCACTGGCTATATTGTCTATTATCAAAAAGACAACAAGTATTGGAGGAATTGTAAAGATAAGGAAATCCTTGTATGCTGTTCATGTTAGTTAGTTAGTTCAAATTAGTACAGCCACTATGGAAAGTCTTCAGAAAACTAAGAATAAAACTACCATGTGATCTAGATGTTCCACTTCTGGGGTTTATCTGAAGAATGTAAAAACATTGATTCAAAAAGATATATGCACCCCTGTGTTTATTGCAGCATTATTTACAATAACCAAGATAATGGAACAAGCCAAAAGCCAGTGCCTGTTAGTAGATGGATAAAGTAGATGTAGTGTGCATGCGTGCGAGTGCACGCATGAACACACACACACACACACACACACACACACACACACACACACTCTGGAATACTGTTCGGCCACAGAAAGGAATGAAATCTTGACGTTTGAAACAACATGGATGGACCTTGAAGGTATTATGCTAAGTAAGATAAGTCAGATGGGGAAGGACAGATACTGTGTAATTTCACTCACGTGAAATCTAAAATAAAACAAAAAACCAAACTTACAGATACAAAGAGCAGACTGATGGTTACCAGAGGGGGTGGGGATAGGCAAATGGGTGAAGGAGGTCAAATGTATGGTGATGGCCGGTAACCTGACTTCTGGTGGTGGTCATTTTGTAGTGTGTTCAGATGTAGAATTGTAATGTTTTACACTTGAGACTGATGTTTATATACCAATTTTACCTCGGCTTCAAAAAGTTATAATACTCTCAGGTCCTAGATATGGAGAGCATATCATACAGAGGTTTATTGGGGGTTTCTTTATTGAGATTTCTGCAGGAAACGCAGGACAGAGTCAACAGCTTAGAATTGGCCAATTTGAATAATTCTGGTGGGCTTTGGGTTATAGGCGTGGGCCCTAGTTGAATGGCACCTGGTTCTGGCATGACTGAGGCAGAGGGATATACAAAATGTGAATACAGTGAGCCCACTCCTGTACTTTCTTAGTTTGGACTATATATCTGAGCCAAGAGGAAAGGAAAAGTCGAGAAGATGCTGGACGAGTCTGTGTACTATAGGTCTCAGTTTCTTTGAGTGCTAATTCCTACCAGAAACCCATCCTCTGCTCCGGTGGGTTCTTGGTCCCGTTGCCAGGTATCATTTGTCCCAGGGAGTCTCTGGTGAGGGTGAGGGTGGCCTCCTGTTCATTATGGCCCCAGGACCTGGTAGAAGTGATAGAGGGAGAAGTTGTGTCCAGGGAGGTGGGCACCTGCTCTCAGGGGCAACTCTGTCATGCTTCTATCAACAGCTAGAGGTTTCTATTTGTTGAGCTACAGTTGACATACAGCATCATAGTACTTTCACGTGTACGGCAGCAGGATTCGCTATTTGTATACGTGGTGGAATGATCGCAGTGATCTAGTTAATATCCATCACCACACGTAGTTACAAAAAAAAAGTTTTTTTCTTATGATGAGACCCTTTAAGATCTATTCTCTCAGCAACTGTGAAACGCACAGCACAGTATCATTAACTATGGTGGCCGAGCTGTGCGTTACGTCCCAGGGCTTGCTGATTTCATAACTGTGACTTGAGATCCCCTTCACCTTTCTCTCCTGCACCCCCCCTCCCAGCCCCCAGTCTGTTTGTTTCTATCAGTTCATGGTTTTTAGGGGTTTGTTGCTGTTGTTGGTTTTTAGCTTTACCTATGAATGAACTAGAGGCTTCTTAGGAATTTTTTTTTTATAATTTTAAAATTTTATTAGAGAGAGAGAGTGCAAGCAGGGGGGGACAGAGAGAGAGGATCTGACTAGTGAGAGAATCCCAAGCAGGCTTAGCACTGTTATCCATCACAGAGCCTAATGTGGGGCTTGAACCCACAAATCATGAGATCATGACCTCAGCTGAAATTAAGAGTTGGATGCTTAACTGACTGAGCCACTCCAGAAACTGCCCCCCCCCGAAGGAAATCTTAATGGCGTCTTATTCCCTGGACCCTGTAAATGCTATAGAGATAGTAGAGAAGAATGGGAGAACCTAGCAATTTTCCTTAGAAAAATGTCTATGTTTTGTTTTAGAAATTTCCGAAAAATTACTTTGCCCATGTTTAAAATGGTTTCTCAGCCCTTTGCTGCATTCATGCTTCTGTGGGGACGCCCACTGGGCTTCAAATAGCCAAGGTGATATTCGTGTCAACCTAGAAATGAGGTGAGCTCAGTCAACGCTGAGAGAAGGTCTGAGTAGCGCAGAGTCTTATTAAGTAGATGGGTTGGTATGACTTAAATTTGCAGTAAGTCACCTGTTTCAAAAATGAAATCTGTTATGGGTGTCCAGGGGATGGGCATGGTTCAGAGTCATGATTTTTTAAGGGCTTGAGTCCAAGGTAAAGCAAAACATCTCAGGCTTGAGGGATGGAACGTGAAAAAAGCAAAAATGGGGCAAGACATTCCAGGTTTAATATACATGCATTTACAGTGTGGTAGGCTGGGGTATGTGGGTGGCTCATGATCTCACAGTTCATGGGTTCAAGCCCCGCACTGGGCTGTCTGCTCTCAGCCCAGAGCCCACTTCAGATCCTCTGTCCTTTTCTCTCTCTGTCCTTCCTCTGTGCTCAATCTCTCTCTCTCTCTCAAAAAATAAACACTAAAAAGAGAATAAAGTGTGATAGGTTGGAGTGTCCCCTTGCCTCCGTCCTCACTGGCTCGTGGAGGGAATGCTGAGGCTGACATTTCCTGTGGTCTGATGCCCCAGCCTGTGGGGCTCTGGTTGCGTAAAGGGTGTGGAGAAGGAATGTCTGGTCCTGTGTTTTCAGGACTTTGTGGTGAAAATGCCATAGGGAAGGGGGGCCTGGGTGGCTTAGTCGGTTAAGCGTCCGACTTTCGCTTAGGTCATGATCTCGCGGTTCGTGGGTTCGAGCCCCGCATCGGGCTCTGTGCTGACTGCCAGCTCAGGGCCCGGAGCCTGTTTCGGTCTGTGACTCCCTCTCTCTCTGACCCTCCCCTGCTCACGCTGTCTCTCTCTCTCTCTCCTAGAAATAAATAAAACATTAAAAAAAAAAAAAAAAGAAAGAAAATGCCATAGGGAAGGGGCACCCGGGCAGCTCAGTCGGTTAAGCTTCTGACTCTTGGTTTCAGCTCAAGTCATGATCTCACGGTTCGTGAGATCAAGCCCCATGTCAGGCTCCACAATGAGCGTGGAGCCTGCTTGGGATTCTCTCTCTCTCTCCTCCCCTCTCCCTCTGCCCCACCCTTTCTCTCTCAAAATGCATGAATAAACTTGCAAAAGATGCTGTAGGGAAGCGTCCTGGTTAGGTGGCCTTAGCCCCTCACCGTCTTCTCAAGGAACACACTTGGCCCGTATCTGCGGCCGTGTCTCCAGCAAGGGGCTGACAAGGGTATCTGGAGAACACGTGCGGTTGTGCGGTATGCACACACGTGCCCTTTCGTGCCTCCTCACAGTGACCCCCAGGATCCTGAGAGCCATGGCAGAGCGCCAGTCGGAATTCACACATTTCAAACGGATCCGTGTCGCCATGGGGACCTGGAATGTGAACGGGGGAAAGCAGTTCCGGAGCAACCTCCTCGGGGCGGCCGAGCTGGCCGACTGGCTGCTGGACTCCCCCAAGTGCTCGGGCCTGGCGGGCTCCCACGGTGAGTGCACGCAGCTGCCGCGGCCACAGGGACTTCGGTTTGAACTTTTCCACCTCCGGCGCCTCCTCAGAGTTGGTATTTGGTGTTCTGGCTCCTCAGAAAGTTTAGAAAGTTCTGTGGTCTAACTTTCCAGCACACACCTGGCAAATTATTTGAAGCCTTCTCTCTTCCACGGCGAGAGAAGGGCTGTCAAGGTGGGGAGTCTCTCTCTTCACATACAGAGATTCCTGGGCTTTGCTCGTTAGAACCTTTCTGTCGTGAGGAGGGGGATGTGGCTCCAGGCACTCGCATCTTGTTGCTGGTGACCAAGCACGTGTGTCCCAGCCTTCTCCCCGCCACCTGTGGACGCGTGTCCACTTTAAGTTACAAAAGAATTTGTGTGCCTTTTAGGAACAAAATGACTCCAAATTTGGCCCCCCACCTTGTGTCTTGAATCACACAAGGTACCACTGGGTGGCCTCAGAATGCAGGGGAAGGAGAAGAAATGATTCTCTGCCATCAGCAAGGACGCAGGGGCCTGGCGTCTCCGAGCTTTCTTGGATTCCGCAAGAGATCCACGATCCGGTTCTCTGTGGACGTGTAGGAGCCTCTCATTCTCCACAGCGGCCCCGAGAGTTTCCTGGAGCCCACCCCCCACCGTCCCGTGCACAGTTGGGTACCCCCACCCCTTGCTTGCTGCCTTTAGCAGGATAGCTGGAGTGCCCCGTCCGGCATTCTGGTGTCAGCGGGGACCGTCCAGAACGCCCACCGGAGCAGGCCCCTACTGCCGTGAGCCTTAGAGGGAACGTCCCTCCCCCTTTTCAAAGAAAGGCTCTTTGGCTCTTCTCGTTTGCAGGGTGGGTGGGGACAGCAAGCTGTTGTCACTTTGCAGGGCATTTTATTGGGACGCTGGGCTCAGCGCCCCCTAACTAGGAAGATTCATCAGGTTCAGGAGGGAGGAGGGGCTGTGGTGCCTGTCGCCAGCAGATCAGAGGAACTGCGTAGTTTTTCTTTAAACAAAGAAGAGAAGCTCTAAGCCAGTTAAGCTTGAAGTTTCCAAGCCTCACTGTTCCGACGGCGTCAGGGAGTGCAGAGTGTCCCTTTCTGCAGCGCTTGGACCCATAGTCCCAACTGATGGCTCAGGAGCTGAGTGGCAGGAGGTGGGGGGTGCTGGAGAGATGCGGCGGGGGGTTTTAAAGACGGGCCGCAGAGAGAACGGAGGAGCAGCACCTTGGTTTGCCATGCACCTTGTAAGATGCATTTCCGTAGCAGACCTCAGCGTCCCCAGGCCACAGGGTAACCACCTCAAGCTGGACAGGGTTTCTGTGCCCTAACCACCAGGACGACAGTCCCCTGGATGGACCATCATCAGTGAGTCATAACCAGCTCTGTGAAAAGTACTGAGGGACACAGACAAGCATGAGGCAGGGATACCCCACGTGCCTCTGGGCCTGATGCACATGTTGGTCACCAGGAAGGAAGAGGGACAGACAGGATGGTGCCCTCACTACCTGCCGGTGGGGGCGGGGGGAGGTTCGCACGTGCCATCTGATAGATGCATCACAACCTCCTTGTGAGATGGTAGTTACTGTCTCTTCCGCAGAGAAAGGAGCAGACGTTTGGAGGCGTCAGTGACGTGGCCCAGGATGTAGACAGGGCAAGGCTGTGTGCACAGTGGGACGTGAGGGAAGGTGGGGCTCTGCCCGGACCTTCACTGAGTCCTCTGGGCGCGTGCACCCCGGCAGTGGCACACCTGGCCTAGAAGAGACAGCCGTGGTGCCCTGCGAGTTTGTTAACATGAGCCTTGTCGAGTCTGATTTCCTTCACCTCCGCCTTTCCCCCCAGAGGATGACAGCCCAGCTGACATATTTGCCGTGGGGTTTGAAGAGATGGTGGAACTGAGCGCAGGGAATATCGTCAATGCCAGGTGAGCGTCCGGCACAAGGGGTACGGGGTGGCACCCTGAAACTCACACGAAGCTTTCCTGAGCTGGGTGCCTGGCTAGGAGCGGGGTGCTGAGGCCATCCTGCTTCGGCACCCACTAACCCGGGACCCTGACGTATAGGTACTTGGGATTGCATTCCTTACCTGCACACAGATGTGGACCTCCAGTTCCTCCTTGCAAATTAAGGAAATAGAAGGATGGGCGTGGTGTTGCTGTGTATTCTCAGCCGTGTGTGGAGGCTGAGTCATGCTGTGAGCTGGCATTGGGCGCCTGGAAGGTGTGGGCTGAGGGCCAGGCGGGAAGGGTGCTGACTCACCTTTCCTGGGGAAGGTGAGAAGCATAAGTGCGGGGAGACGGTACTTCTGTTCCCTCCACCAGGTGTGAAGGAAAGAAAACCACTCTATTCACGTTTTCTGTAAGGCCAACTGGACTTTTTCTTTCCTGGTTTTATTTCAAGGACTTTTCTGAACAAATAAAACCTGATCTGTGAGGCTCTATGAGTGAGGTGCCATGTAGGTTTTAGGTAGAGGGGGTGGGGTGAGACGTGTGCTGTGATGTCTATGGCACAACCAGAAATACACAGACAGTCCACTGCAGGCGTTAAGGCGGGGAACTGGTACGGCAGTGGGGACAGCATGACACCAGTTCTGTAAAAGGAATGAACTAAGGGCTGGAGGAGTCTGTGGGCAGGAGAGCCCATCTCTAGCAGACGGGAGAGCATCGTTTCTTTCTCTTCTTTTCCAGTACCACCAACAGGAAGATGTGGGGTGAGCAGCTCCAGAAAGCCATCTCACGCTCTCATAGGTACATTCTCTTGACTTCGGCACAGCTGGTGGGCGTCTGTCTGTATATCTTTGTACGTCCATACCATGTCCCATTCATCAGGTAAGAACATTGAGTTTATGAACGTCTGGGGGACAGGGGGTTGTTGGTCTCGGTGTTTTGTTCTGACTTCCTCCCTCGCCTCCCCTCCTGCACCAGGAATCGGGACTTGCCATTATTCTAGATCAATGTAGCAACCCGCCCCCCCACCCCCGGAAAAACCGGGCTGAATAGAATATTGTCTGGCGATTAAAAAGCCACAGTGGGAACCTTCCAGGTCAGGAAGCTGAGCTCTTTCAGAAAGTATGATTGTTGTCTCCCAAACTCAGCTTTGTGCAGAGAGAGGGATTTTTTTGTTGAAGTTTTAGACAGGAAACCTCTGACCAAGAGCCAAGTAACCCATCAGGAAATGCCAGCTCTTTTGTCTCTTTTTAAAAGAGTTTTAATAAGACGTGTGGGCAGAAAACCTCTCCCACTGTTACCCCACTGCAATGTCCCTAAAGTGACAGCTTTGTGAATGTCGGGAAGGGAACATTAGGAAATGGGATTCTTCTTAGGAAAGAGTGTGTGTGTGAGTGTGTGCGTGTGTGTGCATGCATGTGTATGCATGTGTGTGAACATGTGTGCGCACATGCATGTGTGCATGTGTATTTTAAGGTTTGGGAGGAACTCACCTTTTCCCTCAGTGACTGCTCACCTCCCACTGCCCCCTGGTCTCGCTCGTGTCCATGGCATTCCCTCGCATCTTTCTCACCGCCCCTGCCCGGCCGAACCTTCCCTGTTGCCGAGTTGAACACCTCTGAGTATTTAGAGGCAAGGAGGCTGCCCGCGGCAGAGCTTGGAGAGCAAGACTGTGTTCTGTGCTCGTAATCCCCTTCTGTGACACTCAGAAAATCTTTAAGTCTGTGTCCCCGGCTGCTGATCATGGCAGAGTGAGCAGGTAAGAGTCAGTAAAGGCAAGGTCAGGGCAAAGCTTAGAGGTGAACCCCGAGAGAGGCCGGTGCCGGGGAACTCCAGATTTCCCAGGCGCCGCCCAGTGTCCCCGGCCCCTCCTTCAGCCTTAGCTTGTTTAGCTCGTGTGCTCCTTGGCCGCCCTGTGTGCTGAGTGCTGGTCCCAGGGAGCGGGGGTAGACCTCCATGTGCCTCAGTCTACCGTCCCATGGACCCGCACACTCGCTGCTGTGCCTCGTAAGCGGGCACTCGAATGTGAGCGGGTGTCTGTGTGCAAACCGCCTACCCAGCCTGGCACAAACAACTGGATGTTTCCTGTTTCTTAACACGCGTGGATTACCCGGTGGCAGCACCCGTGCTTTGCGGGAAGGCTGCAGGGGTGGGGCAGGGGTAGGGCGGGGTGGGGCAGCCATAGAAGCAGAAAGCGGGGATGGAAGCGACAGCATCATGAGTGCTTCTGTGGGCACAGGGCCATGGAGACGGCCCTCCGGGCCTCCCAGGAGGCAGGCGTCGGCAGGGAGAGGAGAGCCGTCAGGAGCGATGGCCACGCCGGGCACCACGTGGCCTGGCCACTTAAGATGGGATTAGACGGATTCCGAGCCACAAGCCTCATGCTGCCGCCCAGCTCTTCTCTGTAGCGAAGCAAGTTTATGCTTGTCCTTCGTAGCCTCTAAGGGGCCGCCGCCCGTGTGCATTCTGTGTTGCAGGGACGTGGCGATCGACACAGTGAAGACGGGCATGGGAGGGAAGGCGGGGAACAAGGGCGCCGTGGGCATCCGCTTTCAGTTCCACAGCACCAGCCTCTGCTTCGTGTGCAGCCACCTGACGGCTGGGCAGTCCCAGGTGAAGGAGAGGAACGAAGACTACAGGGAGATCACCCAGAAGCTCAGTTTCCCGATGGTGAGCAACGCACTGTGGGTGGCTGGTGGCCCGGGAGGTGACATGGGAGCTAGCTCCCTGTGCAGAGCAGCCCCACGCCTGCTTTTCTGAGCTGCCAGGGTAGGCCGGGCATCGGGAGTGCACCCGCTGAGGGCTTGGCTCTGGGGGCGGGGGGATGACCCAGCAGGGGTGAGCCCAGGGCGCCCAGCCCTGGACTGTTCTGTGCCCCACATCAAGTCCTTATGCACTTATGCATTTTCGTTGAGTCTTTGTGTGTTTTCTGATTTTCTCGTTGGCAGTCCATGCTTTGTCCAAGTTGGTGAGGAACATCTGAATCCAGTGTGAGGCTTGGTTTTCTTGAGATCCGTGGTCTTCACACATGCATTCTGTTGCAGCTCCAATAAGAGCGCCCGTTTTTTACTTTTACTTTTTAAAAAATGTTTGTTTATTTATTTTGAGAGCAAGACAGTATGTGAAAACAGGAAAGGGACAGAGAGATGGAGAGAATCCCAAGGAGGGTCTGTGCAGTGAGCGCGGAACTGTGACATCATGACCTGAGCTGAAGTCAAGTCGGATGCCCAACTGACTGAGCCACTCAGGCTCCCCAAACGCCCATTTTTTCAATCTGTGAATTCCTCACCAAGGAGCCCTGGATCCTTCCCCCTGGTCTCCACGTTGTGGCTAACATGCACCATGCTGCCCTCTAGTGGTGGCAGGGGTTTGCATCCCAAAGCCCGCGGATCTTCTATTCAAATTCAGATTGGAATGTTCTCCTCCCCGTGCAAAGATGATTGCCTGCACACCTTCAGCCTGCTGCAAACCACCTGTTACCCAGCAGTGAGGGGAGGCCAGTTCTTCACCACATGCTCTGCCGACGTCTGTGACACGGTTGGCTGGGTCACAGAGCTGCTGCATGTGAGGCCAGATAGATCCCCTAAAACTGACACCCTGTTTACTGGGCTGCACAGGCACTCAAAGCAAAAACTCTTTCATTTTCATTAATGAGCGTTATAATCTTTGCTGTAGTTTTGTTTCTTGAATTAAAAAAGGAGAGTGGGCGCCTGGATGGCTCAGTTGGTTAAGTGTCCGACTTCGGCTCAGGTCATGATCTCTTGGCGCATGAGTTCGAGCCCCACGTCAGGCTCTATGCTGGCAGTTCAGAGCCTGTGTCTGCTTCCGATTCTGCATCTCCCTCTCTCCCTGCCCCTCCCCTGTTCATGCTCTGTCTCTCAAAAATGAATAAAGTTTAAAAAAAAATTAAATAAAAAAGAAACAGAGTTGGGAGATTTACAATGTGTAGTCTTCTAATTTATGTAGGACATTATGCATGTTTTTTCTGTGTGTCTCTTTAGTTTTTTTAAAAAAATTGTCCAAACCTTCTCACTTAAAATGCTATTTCAAAACATTAAACTTGGGACATATTCAAAATATTCAAAGGGCTTATAACAACCGCCTTTTTTTCAACAACAGAAATACTGCGGGTTCCTATAAGTTAATGCCCTACACCTGCAGGTATTTAGTAAATTAATTAAAACTAAATAAAACAAAAATTCCTTGTTACACTGGCCACATTTGATGGCCACCCGGTGGCTGCTTGTGCCTGCTGTTCCCGGTTTGGATGGTGCAGATGGAGAACGTTTCCATCACTGCAGAAAGTTCGTTTGGACAGCCGGGCTCTACATGCTTATTTGATCGTGATCACTTTAGTCCTCTGCCTGGATTCCTGTCGTGGTTTGCAGGGAGTGGGGACATAGCAGAAACGGATTTTGGAGTTAGGCAGATCTGAGGTCAAGTGCTGCATTTATTATGCACTAGGTGGTGTAACTTCAATTTTTTTTTAATCTTAAAGAGAGCCGATAGTGCCTGCTTTCCAGGATTGCTATGAGGGCAGTGTGCCCCAGAACACAGCTCAGTTCTTGTAGATGGGAGGTAGGGTTGATGCATAATGGCCGCTGTCATTGCCTTTGGTGATTCATGGCAGGAGACAGGACAAGGGTCAGTGCTCTCCAGAGCTGTGCTAGTGGACCTCGGGCTCAGGATGGGCTAGACCGGGAGTTGGGACAGAGAATGGGTTGCAGGATGAAAATGGATGAAATCCATGACGTTTTACAAAGTTGCACGTTCTGAGCATTTTTACATATTTCCTTACGCCTGATTGTCATAACTCTTAATGTTTGGGGCGATTCTTCTTTGGGTGCGTAGACATAACAAACGCAGGAGCACAGCCAATCACAGAGCTGGGGCAGGCGCAGCGAAGGATGCAGTCATGCTCCCCCAGTTAGAGTTGAGCTTTCTCCAAACCACTGAAAAACACTGTCATTTGAAACAAAGTAAGCCATGTAGGGGCACCTGGGTGGCTCGATCTCTTGATTTCAGCTCAGGTCATGATCTTACAGTTCATGAGATTGAGCCCCGAGTTGGGCTCTCAGCTGACAGCAAGGAGCCTGCTTGGGATTCTCTCTCTCCCTCGCTCTCTGCCCTCCCCTGTGCATTCTCTCCCTCCCCCACCTCAAAAAATAAACTTTAAAAAAATAAAATAAGCTGTGTAAAAGCCCCTCAGTAGATGTACAGGATTAATGAAAGAGGAGTTGCTCTATTAGGAGACTTTTTAAAGTAACATTTTAAGAAAAACTGCATCTGCGTATTATCTTCATGGTGAATTTTTCCCTCATCTCCCACCGTCTTTGCAAGATGGGCCAGGATGACCGTGGTTTTCTTTATGGCAGGGAAGAAACATTTTCTCTCACGATTATGTGTTCTGGTGCGGCGATTTCAACTACCGCATCGATCTCACCTACGAAGAAGTCTTCTATTTTGTCAAACGCCAAGATTGGAAGAAACTTCTGGAGTTTGATCAGCTACAGCTGCAGAAGTCAAGTGGAAAAGTAAGTTGTGCCCTTAAAATCTGTCTTAGCTTATTTTACCCTGGAGTAACCTCAAAGTGTCTACACCAGCGTTCTGCAAGTTTAGCTCCATGAGTGGAGTGAACAGCGATTCTGATGGTAAACCGTGTGGCGTGTGACGTTGGAGAAACGAGAGCGCCCATTCACACCCACTGCCTGGTCCTCCTCCAACGGGCTGCACGCAGGGTCTGTGTGTCTGCTCGTGTGGCAGCGGCCGTCACACTGTGGAAGGGGGGCGGGCACGCAGGCCAGCCCCGGGAGCAGTGGCAGCAGGAGCCTGCCCAGCAGCGCCAGGGCCTGGGCTCTGTCCCTTCCTCCTCCACACAAACTGAGCCCTCAGTCCTCTGGGTCCCAGCAGGGAGTAAGTACCCGCGCTCAGCGGGAATCAGAGCTGCTTCGGAGGTCCCAGGTCAGCAGTGAGCACTGCGCTGGGAGAGGATGGAGAGTGTGTGCAAGCCCACGCCACCTCCTACCCGCACACCAGCCTTCGCATACACTCAGCCACCCAGGGACACTCAAAGTGCTTTATTTTGATGATATTTCTGTTTCTCATTGGCGAATGCACTGACAGATTATGACCATATTTAATATGCTTTATATACCAATTTGCGTGGATAATCCTCAAGACCGACCCACAAATTAGATATTATACCCGTTTTATAGACCAGAAAACTGAGGCCAAGGTCAAATGAGTCCAAGGCCACACAGTCAGTACACAGAGCCATGATGCGGTCCACGATTGTCAAACTACGGAGCTCATGTTCTTCCTCCCAAATGACCCATCTGCAGTTTTTAGTGACTCCGCGGGCTGTGGCATGATAGGAAGGATTCAGGTGTATCTGTCCTCTGTTCCTCCATGTCCCACTGGCCAGCTTCCAGATGACCCAAAATTATCTTCTCCAGTGAATCCTGTTTGCTCGTGTCAGTGTCTGTTAGCTTTGTGGCAGGCTGGGCCCAGATGGCGGGCGCACAGCCATAGTCCCTTTACATTTTGAAAACGCAGCTGGTAACCTGTGTGGTGAGAGGGACGTTAAGGTGTCCCCTGCAGCAAGAGGCAGGCGGTCCTCGGCGCTGTCCATGCACGCCCCACCCGACCCGCCACGGACGTGGATTGCTGAGGGAGGTCAGATGGAAAAGTGACCACGCCATACGTCCCTACCCCAGGTTTTTCTCTCCGCCTCCTACCAGTGCTGTGCACAGCCTTCCACAGGAGCACTGAGAGGATTCATCCCGGCTGTTCTAGGGTCTTCTCACGGCACCGCGGCTGGATCCAGAGTGAAACAGAGAGTTCGGTCTCAACCCTGTGCTTCTATTGACCCAGTTTATTTAGTTAGCAAATATCGACAAAGACCTTGATAGCAATGGCGGGCATCGTGCTGGCTGTGGGACGGCCTGGATGGGCGCCATCCCCGCGTGCCTTCTGTGGTCTCCCGGGCCCTGGAATGAGTGATCGTCACTCTGTTGCTGGTTAAACAGCATACATTCAGTTTTAAACATAGTTGCAAATGTAGATTCTGTGTCTTCTAAAGAACAGAGCCCTTTGGAATGCGCTTTTTAAATTTTTTGTTTTTATATACGACGCACAGAATCTAGGAGAATGAAGGTGGTCTTGGTCTTTTCTCCCAATAGATTTTTAAAGACTTCCACGAAGGCACCATTGATTTTGGACCTACTTACAAGTACGACGTTGGCTCGGCCGCCTATGACACGAGCGACAAGTGCCGCACCCCTGCCTGGACGGACAGGGTCCTGTGGTGGAGGAAGAGGCACCCTTTTGACAGAACAGGTGCGTGGGACGCGTGCACCTTCAGAGCTGGTAGAGGGGACGGTGATACCACGGAGGGCAAGTCGGTCTGGGCAACCCAGAACGACAGGAGAGTTAGGCCGCTTGTTGGCCCCTCAGCTTTGGAAGTTGTGCTCTGGGGGGCTCCCCTCTGGCTCTCCCTGTCCCTGCATCACAGCTCTCCCCCCACCCCCACCCCGTCTGCCTTCTGTCCTGCTTGGGCCACAAGGAGAGAAGCCACAGCTCTAACGTCCAGTGTCTGTGCCCTTACCCACGACACGCGCTACCCTTTTTGCTCAACCAAACTCTTACCTGCTTAAAGCTCCAATTCCAAATCGACATGAGCCTGACGCAGGAAGGGAGCGTTTTCTCAATTAGCTGTCCAGTATGTTTTGAAGCATTGGCGCTGGCCAGCAGGGAAAGGCGGCTGATTTAGAACACCTCTACGTAAAACAGCTCGGCTTTCCTGACGAGATGGGTGTAGAGATTTCGAAGCCAGGGAACCACATCGTTCAGATCAGTCTGTGGACATCTGTGACAACACCCCCGGTGCATCGAGGGGCAGGGACATCATCGTGGTCTTAGTCTCTGCTTCTCCTCCTGTAGGAAGGGCTGCAGACACCCTGTGGCCTCAGGGATGGAGACCCCGCTGCCTGCATCCCCACTCAGTGCGTCCCCTGGGGATGGAGGCTGCACTGGACACCCGACCTAGGTTGTCTGCCCCTGACCCCAGGGCCACCTTGGCGTGGCTTCCAGCCGAGCGGGTTAGAGGGAACAAGTCTGAGACAGGGTGGTCCGTGATGTAGACCCCTGTGGCCCAGGCTCCACAGTCGACCTTTCTGTATGTTGATACGATGTTGTGTTGTGTGTGGGTCTCTTGATCGTAATCCCATGAGTAGCTGGAGATCTCAACCTGCTAGACAACGACGTGGATGCCGACAGCATGGTCAGACATTCCTGGTCTCCAGGCGCCCTCAAGTACTACGGCCGAGCGGAACTGCAGGCATCCGACCACAGGTACGGCCGTGGCCGCCGCGGCACATTCTCCCAACGGGAGTGGCGTCTGTTGCTCCCCACGGAGGACGGGCACGTTGTCCCCTTCGGAATGCGTGTGTGCATGTGTGTGAAATTCAGCAAACAATAAGGAGGAGTGTGACAAATAGCTATGTACCCACCACCGAGAATTAATCGGTTAGTATTTTGCAGTTGCTCATATCAATGACGTCATTGATGAGCATTTCAGAGATGCAGCTGTGCTGCTGTGTCGTTTAAATTCCCATAAGTGACGTCATTGTGCAACTTGCGTTGTTGTCTCTCAATGTCTTTGAGATACAGTCAGGTCGGTGTTACGGAACTGGCTCATTCACTTGTACTTGCTATCCAGGGTTCCACTAAATATGTCTGTGGAATTTCCCCATTCACCTACTGGTGGTGTGTTTCATTACAAATGCCATTCGTTTTGTTTTCTTAATTTTTTAAAAATGTTGGTTTATTAGAGAGAGAGCACAAGCTTGGGTGGCGGGGGGGGGGGGCCGGCGGCGGTGGGCAAAGAGGAGGGAGACAGAGGATCCGAAGCAGGCTTAGCGCTGAGAGCGCAGAACCTGATGCGGGACTCAAACCCACGAATTGTGAGATCACACCCTGAGCCGAAGTTGGATGCTCAACAGACTAAGCCAGCTGGGTGCCCCATGCCATAGGGTTTTTAAGTGTTGGATTCTGAGAATGCTCTGAGCTGTTGGTTTGCACTTGCGTGTCTTGTGTTAAGGATGGAACACAGCAGCAGGGTCGGCAGCTCAGTGTGCACCCGGGCCCGTCTCCTAGAGCACCTGTGAAGAGACAGGATGGCGTTTGAGGGTATAAATAGGAAAGATTTGATCTTCCCACAGCTGCTGCCGAACTTGCCTGTCAGTTTCAACTTCCACAAGGCAGATTAGGAGAGAGAGTTGGTGGTGAACAGTTGGTCAGCCATAAATCTACATCTTTGGTGGTTCTAAATTCTCGAGAAACCTATTGTTGCAAATCCGTGCCCGGAAATGAACCTTTGGAAATCTCCAGATACAGGACTTTCAGGTTTACGAGTTCAATGAGTGTCTTTAGAAGCGGTTCATTTAACCATATTCGGGGAGCAGGGCCTTGAATGCACGACCCATTTCCTGGCACTGAGGACGGGCAGGAAACAAAACAGACAAGAACACGTTCTCATGGAATTGTCCAGTGAGGACAGACGGACAAGTGCTGTGAAACAGAAAACAGTAACGGCAAGAGTCAGACAAGGGGTTGGTGCTCTTTAAACCCAGTGTTCAAGGCAGGCCTTTCAGATATGGTGGCCATGGAGCCAAGGCCCGAAAGATGTGAGAGTGTGAGCCCTGGGAGTCTCGGGGGAGAGCAAGGCAGTGAGCATTCAGGGATCCCGGCTAGAGGCGGACTGGGAAGAGGAGAGGGAGTCACAGGAGACGGGCAAGAAATGCAGAGCACGTGGAACCCGGCCGGCCACCCAGAGACGTTGGGATTTACTGAGCTTGAATGACAAGGCGTTGACGCAGTCAGCTGAAGAGCGTCCAGTGGGGCCAGGGAAGAAGCGAGTGGTGGAGCCTGTGGGATTGGATGGCGTGTGTGTGTGTGTGTGTGTGTGTGTGTGTGTGTGTGTGTGTGAGAGAGAGAGGGAGAGAGAGAGGGGAAGAGAGAGAGAGAGAGAGAGAGAGAGGATTTGGGGAGGACCCCAGGGTTCGGCCTAAGCAACCGCGAGGATGGAGTGGCCTTCGCTCAGCTGGATGCGGGGAGCTACAGTTCTGGCCGTGGTGGTTAGAGATGCGTCTTAGACATTTATCGATCTTTCTAATTACAGAATCAGGGCATCTCACTTACAGTTAGGGGACCTACATAAATAATCAAATCCTCCTTGGTTCTGTGTCTGCAGTGGTTTGTCGTGTGGTGTCTGTGTTTTCTGGGCATGTTAGACTTTACACCAAAATGTTAACCTGTGTGTGGTGCATGCTCATGCATAGACATGCTTTTTGGCATGTAAATGCATGTAAGAAAATCGGGATTATGTTATGCAGACTTGCCATTTTGCCTTCTAACTTACTACATTAATCATTTTTAATTAAACTTTTTATTTTGAGGGTGCCTGGGTGGCTCAGCTGATTAAGCGTCTAGCCTTGATTTTGGCTCGGATCGTGATCGCGCCCTTGTGAGGTCCAGCCCCGGAGTCAGGCTCTGCATGGACAGTGTGGAGCCTGCTTGGGATTCTCTCTCTCCCTCCTCTCTCTGCCCCTCCCCTGCTCATGTTCTCTCTCTCTTTCTCTCTCTCTCTCTCTCTCAAAATTAAACATTAAAAATAAATAAATAAAAACTAACCTTTCAAAAAAAAAACAATAACAATTGCATTATTTCCTGCCAATCTGTTTTCTTGTGTCAACTAGACTTCTCCAATATTATCTTATTAGTTGTATAAAATATCATACAGCTGCACCATAACCTGTTTCACTCTTGTGGAACAGTTAGATTATTTCCCCTTTTCCCTCCCATCAGCAGTAATAACCAAGCTTGTATGTAAATCTTTGTCTGAATCTCTGGTCATTTTCTTAGAACAGAGTCCTAGAATTGAAATTACTAGATCAAAAGAGGTGAACATTTTTGAGATTCTTGTTTTTTTTTTTTAATTTTTAGGTTTCTTTATTTTTGAGGGAGAGACACACATTACAAGCAGGAGAGGGGCAGAGAAAGAGGGAGACACAAAATCGGAAGCAGGATCCAGGCTCTGAGCTGTCAGCACAGAGCCCGACGTGGGGCTCGAACCCACGAACCATGAGATCATGACCTGAACCGAAGTCAGATGCTTATCCAACTGAGCCACCCAGGCGCCCCAGCATTTTTGAGATTCTTAATACCAGTTGCCAAGTCGCCCTCCAAAGAGCTCGAATCCCTAGCAAGGGGAGAATTCGCACCTGCCGCCATCCTTGTCAGTACTGGTGAAAGCCATGTAAAAAATCTTTGCTAGTGGCTGGCACTGTTTCCTCTAAATCATTCGTAGGTAAAAATGCCAAGACAACGCTAAGATTGGGCAAAGATAGAGTCTGAAACCCCAGGACAGGAGAGCCGGGCCGCAGGCATTCTGCTGGGGCCACACTCCTGGGTTGTTGATGTCCCTGTTGACGGTGGGGCTGTGGGGGCAGGAGCTGCTCGGCCTGTTAACTGGTACCTATCTCCCTTCGTGTCTAACGCAGACCCGTGCTGGCGATCGTGGAGGTGGAAGTGCAAGAAGTCGACGTGGGTGCTCGGGAGAAGGTGTTCCAGGAAGTGTCCTCTATCCAGGGCCCCCTGGATGCCACCGTCATAGTCAACCTTCAGTCACCAACCTTAGAAGAGAAAAACGAGTTTCCTGAGGATGTGCGCACAGAGCTGATGCAGACTTTGGGCAATTACGGGACCATTGTTCTGGTCAGGTAAGTGCTGCCCTGGCTGGCGCAGGGTCCCACGTGCATGTCACGTACACGCCGGCCAGAACCCGGCTGAGCTGTCGCATTGCACTTGGCATTGACTTAGCACATCTCATTTATTCCAGGATCAACCAAGGGCAGATGCTGGTGACTTTTGCGGACAGTCACTCGGCTCTCAGCGTCCTGGATGTGGACGGTATGAAGGTGAGTCATGCTTGGTCGCCTGTGGAGCAGGGGCTGCTCACTCCCAAGGGTTTTCTTGTGCTTTCACGTGGTCCTGGGATCTCCTCACCTATGTTTCCAGATGTGGGCACCACAGGAGCTAGTAGTCTTCCTTCCGGTATCTATTTGTGGTATCCTCAGTGAGGGACCTAATGTGCGTCCCTGGCCACTTGCAGAATCCGGGAGAAAGAGCAAGTCCTCGAGCCTAGATCCTGCTGAGTCCCCGGGTCTGTCTCGGCTCGCACCTGCACGAGGGAGAGCTTTGCAGTCCTCTCCGTGTATTTCGGAACATGCCACATACAGGTGGTTTCCATTTTGGTAATTTCCCAGTTTGACATTCACACAGAACGAAAAGCCAAAGATGATAATTCAACTTTTATTTGGACCGTATATGAGCCGTGCTGATCGTGCCTGAGGTCTGGACCCTCAATTTTTCTTGGTAAAACTGGAAGACTGGCCTGCTCCTGATGCAGGAGTTTGAGCGAGAGAACGTTTGAAGGGAAAGAGAGTGGTTCTGACGTCTCTGCTCTCGGCTGGTCGCCCTGTCCTCACAGGTGAAGGGCAGAGCGGTGAAGATCAGACCAAAGACCAAGGACTGGCTGAAAGGTTGGCAGGAGGAGATCATCCGGAAGCGGGACAGCATGGCGTCCGTGTCTCCAACCGCCAATTCCTGCTTGCTGGAGGAAAACTTTGACTTCACCAGTCTGGACTATGAGTCAGAGGGTGAGTAGTCCCTGCAAGACTTCTTGGCAGCTGTGGTGAGGTGGGCGGGCCAGACATTCCGGCAGCCAGCGTGAGGTTTTCAGGACCCGCTTCTAACACCCCGCCCATAAAGGTTCCCGAGGGTCCTTGAGGTGCAAGCGTGTTATTCCACATTGCCTCGGGGTGATGGTGTGAACCGGTAAGTGGGACGTGCGGTCGTCCCGAACGACCTTGAAAACCGTGGTTCTGAGGCTGCCTGGGCCGTGGGCTTGGTCCCCTGTCTCCCGTGTGGATGGGGTAGGGGTCCCGCACCTGCTGACGTGGGCTGCAGGCAGCCTGATGCGGAGCCACAAGCCCGGATGTTGAAACAGACCCACTTCTGAGAGGCTGTGCCAGTCACCCTAATTGTGTGCTGTGACGTTTCCTTCCCCAAGGGGACATTCTTGAAGATGACGAAGACTATCTGGTGGATGAGCTATGTCAGCCCGTGGTCTCAGACGGTGAGATGTCAGGAGACAGCCCTTCCGAAGTCCCCGGCTACGCAGCTGCAGTGTCTGCCAGCAGGTCACCGGGACTCAATAAAAAGAAGCAGCACCCGACCTACAAAGGTAGCTTGGCCCTGGCATTGAGTTCGCTCTTTCCCTCACAGCAGGGCATTGAATGATGCCACCAATCAAGTGCCCACACCCACGAAAGGGCTGAAACGACAAATCCTAGCAGTGGTGGAACGGGGCTCAGGGCCAGTATCCAGCCACCACTGCACTGATTTTCTCTAGTGCTTCTTATTTTTTATTTATTTTTCTATATATTTTTTACACCTGGTATCCTTATAACACGCCAGATTTATGTTCATTCCTGTTTCCTCTATATATTTAAATGGCCACAGGCATTTTTTTTTTACATTTGTAATTTTGCTTCTCCTCTCCAAAACTTTTCTGTTTCAATCCCATAGGAGACATAGCCATTTTTTTTATTGAAGTATAACTGACTGCAAAAAAAGTATAGTTGCTAGACAATATTACGTTCATTTCAGGCGCACAACATGGTGACTCAAGCAGTTCCGTACATTACACAATACTCACCATAGTGAGTCTAGTTACCATCTGTCGCGTGTAATGTTAAAACAATGTTACTATATTCCCCATGCTATACTTTTCATCTCTGTGCCTGACTTATTTTCTAAGTGGAGGGTTGTACCTCTTCATCCCCTTCACCTATTTTGCCCGTCCCCCCTCACCCACCCCAATCAACCGCCAGTTTTCCATACGTATTAGTCAGTTTCTGGGGTGTTTTTCTCTTGCTGTCGCTTGTTTTGTCTTTTAGATTCCCCATATAAGTGAAATCATATGGTATTTGTCTTTCTATGTCTGATTTATTTCCCTTAGCAAGATGCTCTCTAGGTCCGTACAGTATCTAGGTCCTGAGTGCGGTGTGTGGTTACATTCACATAATACTTTATTGCACAGCCACATGATAATTAGCATCATTCTGTCATTTTAGCCTTCAGCTGAGAGAGACTGAAAGTCCCACAGATTGAACTGCAAGGCCGTAGGTTATCTAGTCTGATGGCGCTTATAAGTTGAAAAACCCTCCGGTGTTACGTGGGCTGGGAGGCAGGGTACTCCGTGCTCCAGCCTCACTGTCAGTAGGATCACCCGCAGCCACAGGTACCTTCTAGCTGTCGGTCGCTGTCCCCCCCCCCCCCACACTGGAGGACAGCTGTGCCCGATGGGTCCAGGACCCTGTGAGCTGGGACTGAGAATACAGAACAGGGTCAAAGTGATTGGGATGCCTCGCAGGGGAGGTAATTTGCCAAGAGAGGTGCAGACACCCCAAAGCCCCTTTGCACAGTAGCCCCAAAGTTGGCTGGTAGTCTCTCTGCCCTGAACCGTTGGGAGCTGGTAAACTTCCAGGTTGCTGAGCCCGCCAGGGAGCTGTGGGTTTGGCAGGGGTGGGCGGGCTGGGACCCTGGAAATCTGGCATCTCTCAAAGCTCCCAGGTGACTGAGGCACACGGCTGGGTTTGAGGACTACTGCCTGATACGCAAGCAGCAGACTTTGTGCATCGAGGTGGTTCTATGCATTGCACATCCGGAGGGCTCCTGCCCCGGAGCAGAAGTGGCTGAAGGGGCATGCTCTTCAGACAGGAAGTGGTCCCTTTCTCCAGGAGTGGCCATCATTGAGGAAGCCTCCAAAGGGGAGGGCGTGTATGAGCATAAAGGCCTCCTTGAATGAAAAGTTAGCAGATCAGGGGCATCTTGGGGGGCTCAGTCAGTTAAATGTCTGACTTCAGCTCACGTCATGATCTTGCAGTTTGTGAGTTCGAGCCCCACGTTGGGCTCTGTGCCGACAGCCCCGAGCCTGGAACCTGCTTCAGATTCTGTGTCTCCTTCTCTCTCTGCCCCTCCCCTGCTTGTGTTCTGTCTCTTATCTCTCAAAAATAAATAAACGTTTAAAAATTTTTTGAAAAACTTATCAGAGCTGCGTGGGACCGTGTGGGCATCAAGAGGGCACATCCTCAACACTGTGGGTGGTCAGGCATTCCCAGTAGGAGAAATCTGCTTCTCCCCAGCTCCAACCTCAAGCATCCATGGGTTTGAGCTGTTGGAAATGTGAGGGGTGGAGTGTCTGAGCCAAAATGAAATTAACTGGACTGCGTTGTAGTGTGGGAAACAAGATCTGAAAGTGTCCGGAACTTATGTGTAATACGTGTATAGGTACTAAAACCGAAGCAGTCACCTCCTCACGCCCCTCTTAGCCTTTGAAGGCATTTGCAGGGCAAGGAGGAGTGTGAACACCTGTGAAGTAGCTGGCGGTGGGGCTGCGGTACTTGGAGCTTGATGGGTGAGCAGGGATTCTCCACATGAGGAGCTTGTCCCAGGATGGCCGAGGCGGAGAGCAATCCCGGCTCCCCAGACAGCTGTCCTGTGCTAGAGTGAGGAGCTCAAACCAACGGGCTCTGGTCTTCTGTTGTCTCCTCTATTCTGTGTGAGAGCCTCCTTCATTATTTCAGAAGGAAAGGCACCTACACTTGGAAATATTTCCATGTCTCTTGCGTCTGGACAAGATGTCTTGTCTATTGCTCATATCTCACGTTCCAAGCAGGCACTGGGTGACCCTCCCCCACCCCAGGCCCTCACGCCAGCAGAGAAGGGTCCCCGGTCCTCAGGAAGCCCTCCTGCACGATCAGCCCGGCACAGACCCGAGTCTGAGCCCCAACTCCCCTCACCCACGTTCCACCATGTCCTCCAGATGATGCCGACCTGGCGGAGCTCACGCAGGAGCTGGAAGCAGTCGGGGACTTGCGCCACCGTTCTCCAAGCAGGTCTCTGTCGGTCCCCACGAGGCCTCGGCCTCCTCACCCGCCGCAGAGACCCCCCCCTCCAAGTAAGACTTTGCTGCTTTGGGCTTACGCCGTGCCTGCTGGGAATAACTGCCTGTGGCCTGCTCCTCAGCACCTCCCTCTGAGTCCGCTGCTGCCTCACCCCGGTCCCCAGCGCCTTCCCCTCCTCAGGCTCCTTTTTGTCTTGGTGTCAGAGGTGGTCGTGTTTCTCAGGGCAAACTGTGAATCCTTTACAAAGCTGTTCACCCCCCTGTGGCTGTGGTTTGCTTTAAGGTGCTTTCTGTTTGAGACGGTAGAGAATGGAAAGTTGAGGCAACCCCCGAGCAAGGACCTTCCGGTACCTTCTTCCCCATGCCTGCAGAGGCGGCCTTCTGTCCGCACCCGCCCTCTCCTTGCTTCCCAGGGTTGCAGTAAGCGCAGATGCCCCACACTCCAGGCGACCTCAGGGCCACCTCACACCGGGCGTCCTGGCTTCTGCGGGCCCAGGCCACGCGCCGAGGAAAGCACACCTCTTCCTCTCCTCCAGAACCGGTGCTTGGCCCTCCAGCTTTTTCCTCAACAACCTGAGAAGAGATTTGTGACGTGCTTTTGAGCACTTTCTGTTTTACCTCTGCTGTTTACTTCTGTCCCCACCCCAAAACGTGTGACAGTCAGACACAGAGATTTTCCTCAGGCTTTATTTTCCATTTGCGTTCATCTTGGCTTATGTCACCATAGTAATGGATGGTGAGCCAGAAGCATGTGACTTTTTATGTGTATTCTTTACTTTTCTAACACTCATAGAATAAAATACTAAATAAGTAAAATAAAATTTGTGTCATTTTGCAGAAATTTTACTGAAATAGATAAATACAAAACTTTTTAAAATTCACTCGACTGTCTATAGATAACGATGGTTAATCACAAGATTTCCAGCCTTTCTCTAATTATGTATGTCTATACCTACTTGCAGTTATTCTTTATTTTTTCACAAACTTGGCATCCATTTTGTTTGGTCATTGGTCTTTCGTCCTGACGTCTATGTCATTAAACGTCCTAAGACATGATTTCTGAGTGACCGTAAGTGTAATTTAATATCATGTATTCCCCTGCTTTGGGATTTGTTTTTTTAGATTTTTGTCCAAACCATTTTTTAAATTGGGTCCTAATAACTGCAGTGTGTTTTAAACCACTCAAAAATGAATTGGCTTTTCTATCAGATTTGAACCTCCCCCCCCAGGATGTTAGATTAAAATCTGTGTTCAAATAATACTTCGCCAGAGAATTAGTCACAAACTGCTTGAGAATCAAAGGAGAGAGTGAGTGAGTTACCGACTCTGTGAATGCCCAGCGCGGGCCCGCACCCTGCGAGCCTCTGTGGTTGGTCTTGCCCCCGACTGGCTGGGAGATGCCCGCAAAGCAGCCGGCGGCCTCACTGAGATGGGGACTCTGCCTCGTTGGTTTTCACAGCTGGTTTAATGGTGAAAAAGTCAGCTTCGGACGTGTCCATCTCCTCCGGCACCCACGGGCAGTACTCGATTTTGCAGACGGCAAAACTGCTACCCGGAGCGCCCCAGCACGCGGTGAGTTATTTCCTGTCCTGCCCAAAGCGAAGTGGGCCAGCGCTTCCAACCCAAGGGGTCTGCCCCGTGGCTCGTCAGCCCCTGAGGTCATGCGGGATCACCTCCTCCGTGAATACATAGACTGGCACCTCTTTACCCTCTGCCAGCTCTCTCCCAAACCCGTAACTCAGTAGCATGCCTTTGGTAGGGCTTTAAATGGTCATCAGAGGGTCAGAGAGAAAATCACCTTTGATGAAAAACATCCCATGTGTCCCACATGGTGAGACTGTTTCCAGACTCACCTGCTTCTCTCCCTTTCGAGGCTCGACGTGGACCTTGGTGTATATAGAGCAGTGCTTGGTAGAGGGCAGAATAGGAGAAATTCTGATCAGTTGTCTTGCGAGAAGAGGTAACGGGGCCTAAATAGCACAGCAGGGGAATGCCAGTGATAACAGCAGGGAGGATTGTACAGGTGGAAAGTTCCAGAAGATGGCAGTGAGCTGCTCAGGAAGACAGTAGGTGGAGGTCAGTGGAATAGAGCAAGGGAGGTGAAGCCGGGGTGCTGGGCGGAGGCAGACTGTCCCGGAGGGTGCAGGGCTGGGCCAGGTGTCACGTGTGACAGCCGGGGGAAGGGTGGCCAGGCCTCAGTAGTTGATGGTAGTGAACGTAGGTGTCAGTGGCCACCCAGAGGTTTGGGTGAAGAGGCGGAAAGAGTACTTTGGAGAAAACATGTATCTGGAAGGTGTGTCAAAAATCGTGCTGAGCTGTAAGAAAAGTGGCTTCTGTTGACTCTTTCTGGCTTTTACCCAGTTAATGAAGTAGATGGTGGCTTATCCACATTGTGAAGACCTATAACCACCAGGCTTGGGAAAGGAGGCTTTGTCAGCTCTGAGTACTACTGCATTCCTGTCAGTCTGAGAGTATCCGGGGGGGACAGGGGCTTGAGGGAAGGGGTCTGGATTGGAGTCTGTGTTTTAACCGCCATCGGATGGAGCCCTGCACGCCTCATGCTTGTGAACAGATCAGCGGGCAGGGAGCGTACCGGGTGAGTCTGTTTGCCTGCCTGTGTTCACGTTGCTTTTCTTCCTGATTCTGTCCTGAAGCCCAAAGCCAGGACGGGGATAAGTAAACCCTACAATGTCAAGCAGATCAAAACCACCAATGCCCAGGAGGCAGAAGCAGCTATCCGATGTCTGCTGGAAGCCAGAGGGGGTGAGTGGTCCCCTGGGGTTCTGCTGCTGGTCTTTTCTCTGCCTCTTCCTACTAAAAGGGACCTAGAAGAGAAGGTAACTTCTTTCTTTCTGGATGCAGTATCAAGTGGAAGCACCCTTCATCAATATTTGATAAAATTCCACCACTAAATTTTATTGTCCATTTAAAATTATGTATTTATTTTATTTATTTTGGGAAAGAGCACACGTGCGTGGAGGGGCAGAGAGAGAGAGAGGGAGAAAGAGAATCCCAAGCAGGCTCCACACTGTCAGCATGGAGTCTGATGCAGGGCTTGAACCCACGAACCGTGAGAGCATGACCTGAGCTGAAATCAAGAGTTAGACACTTAACCAACTGAGCCACCCAGGTGCCCCTAGAATATATATATTTAAAGTTCAGTAAGTATATGGAAATAACCCCAAGATTATTAAGAAGTACTTTAAGGGAGAGACTGAAATTAACAAAGAATTTTAGAAAAGGGTAATGGCCCCAGGCACTGACTCATTGGGCTGGCTCCGTAAAAAGAGATAGGTAGGGGATGCATCCCTATTTCAGGCATAAAACCTACTTTTTAAATCACTAGCAAGGATAGGTTCTTTACTGTCTGGCAGGGACCTTTTCTCCACCAAACTGCCTATTAATTTTTTGGCGTTGCTATTTCCCTTGAAACTCATGTTAATCATATTTTAACTTGGGATCTCCACCATGCATTCGAAATTGCTGATACTAATATTTTTTGTTTCTTGTTTTTTGGAGAGGGGGGACCGTGACCTCTGGGGGGTGGTGCCCAGGCCTAGCTGTCTGCTTACTTTTAGTCAGGGTATGTACCTTCCTTGCAATCCCAAGTAACAGTTAAGGAGGGCATGAATTCTTTGGGGATGAGCACTGAGTGTTATGTAGAAACTAATTTGACAATAAACTATTTGTAAAAAAAAAATAAATAAATAAATAAATAAAAAAAAAGGAGGGCATGAATTAAGAGGTCAAGAAACATTGCTGTAGGATAACTATCACGAGTGGTTTCTTTTTTATTAAAAAGAGTAATAAAATTAGGAAGCACCGGGTAGTTCAGTCAGTTGAATGTCCCTCTTGGTTTCGGCTCAGGTCGTGATCCCAGGGTCATGGAATGAGGCCCATGTCAGGGTCTGTGCTGAGCATGGAGCCTGCTTGGAATTCTCCCTGTCTCTCCTTCTGCCCTCTCCCCTGCTGGTGTGCGCACGCTCTCTGTCTCTCTCAAATCATAATCATAATAATAATTGTACGGATGTAACCACCCACATGATCATCAGCTGATGAGTGGGTAGATGTAGTGTAACCATATAGCAGAATGTTATTCAGCCATAGAAAAGCACTCATATATGTGCTTTATCATGAGTACATCTTACCAATATTATGCTGAATGAAAGAAGCTAAACACAAAAGGCTTTATATTGTGTGATTCCATTTATACAAAGTGTCCAGAATAGGCAAATCTACACAGACAGAAAGTTATTAGTAATTCCCAAGAGTTGGGGAGGGCGTGGGTGGGGGTGACTGCTAGTGGGGACAGGGTTCCTTTTTGCAGTAATGAGAATGTTCTGGAATTAGATGGTGGTGATATTTGTACAACTCTAGGAATATACTTGAGAAACAGAATACTAAATTATATTCTGAAAAGGATGAATTTCATGGCATGTGAATTATATCTCAATAAAACGACTTTTTTTAATAAATGTTTTTTTGTTTTTGAGAGAGAGAGAGGAAGGGGTAGGGAGAGATGGAGACAGAGAATCCGAAGCAGGCTCTGTGCTGAGAGCAGAGCACAATGCAGGGCTCGAACCCACAAACTGTGAGATCATGACCTGAGCTGAAGTTGGATGCTTAACTGACTGAGCCACCCAGGCGCCCCAAAAAGCTTTTTAAAAAAGTTCTATGAATATGGCGGTTAGGAGAGGTTTGAGGTTCAAAATCTTAACGTTTCCTTGGTCGTGGGCCCTGTGGAGATTTTGAGAAGTTTCGGATTACCTCCCTTGAGGGAAACACACGTACCATAAAACTTTGCATGTGATGTCTGGGCCTCACTGATCCCCCCATGAAGACCCTCTCTGGCGAGAAGGTGAACAGGAGAGACTGGGGGGTAGACCTCGCTGGTCGGTCCTGACACCCCCCCCCAAGATTTTTTTGTTTTTAGAAAAAAAAGGAAATACATCGCCTGAGTAAATTAGGGTTAGAAGGTAGCAGACCATCTACCTACTAATCGTGCAGTGAAGTGCCCTGTCCTGCCCACATCACTGTCCCTACGACTGTGTGTTTCAGGCGTCCCCGGAGAAGCCCTAAATGCCACAGCCCTGAGGGACCAAGGGGCTTCCAAACCAGAGCCCCCCGTGGCGGTGGCCCCGCTCTTGCCCCGTCGGCCCGCACCCAGGGCTCCTGCCATCAAGAAGCCAACCTTGCGGAGGACAGGAAAGGTAAGAGCCTGGAGCGAAGTCCCTTCCTCCCGAGTGGCTCCAGCGTCTGCTTAGAGGATTCCCAGACACGGCCCCGTCCGCGAGGAACCTGCTTGGCCGTCGCTTCCTCCTTCACGTCCCCACCGCGCCTTTGGCTCTAGCTGAGCAGAAAAGGCCCGGGTTTGTCCCTGCAGCGGAGCAGCTTGGAGGTGCCAGGCTCCCTAAATGTTCCGTTTCAGCCCCCAGATGGAGCCGCCATGGGATGCGCCCCTCCAAGGGCTCCCGTGTTTCCTGCTCGTGTACATCTGTGTCGTGTGCACGGGGTTGCACACGTCCAGATTTGGTTTGCGCCAGAAAACTGACAACGGGTCCCTGCACCAGCGGTGTTGACGAGCTCGTGGGCGGCTCGGACACTGGGGCTTCGACCGCTTCTCTTGCCACTTTTCTTGCAGATTGTGTTCTGCTCTCACTCTCAAGCTTCTCAGCCTCGCTTGCTGCTTCAGAGACATGAGTTTGTCAGGACAGTCGCAGCCCAAAGACTGGCACCCGTAGACACATCTGGATCTGCCGTTTGATCTCGGTGTTCTAGTAATGAGACCCGGGTAATCCCTCGGCTGGTCATTCCGGGGCGGCCGCTGCTTTTCCACCCGTGGAAAGTGTGCCTTGTGAGCTTGGCGCTTGCTCTGTGCTTTCGGCATCCATCTGCCTCTCTGCTTGCGGGTCACATCTGACCATCTGCCGGGCCTCCTTCCGGAGCAGACCCCTTTCCTCTTCATTTCCCTGTCCCTGCTCTGTCTTGTCTCTGGAAAGCCAGGGCAGAAATGGGTTCCTTTTCTCAGGCCACTGCACAGGGGTTACAGTAAAAGGCTGGTGGAGAAGGGGTGGATTTTGCAGTTTGTTTTCTAAAGAGCCAGAGACCGGGCTGATACAGACAGTGCCAACAGCCCCTGCGGTATGGAAGCTTCCTTTGGCTCCGTGCAGTTGTTCTGTGATCGTTTTGAATCAGAGCAAGGAAGTGATGCCCCCGTGTGAAATTCTCCATCTTCTGTGTTTAAATATCCAAGATTTAAGGAGCAAGCTGATCCGTTAGCCCTTCAGGTAGCTGAATGCCGTGACGATGTTCCTTCAGCCTGAATTTTCAAAGCCGTGGCCTCAGAAAAGATCGTGTGTATTTTTGGAGATTTGCTTTTAATCAAGGAAGAGCATAACCCCATTTCCTAAGGTACCAGGAAAAAATAAAATAAAACCCTTGTGTGGCCCTGGTGCTGAAGCTTCCCGTATTTCATCGGACCTGCTGGCGCTTGGTTAATGTTTCTCCTGTGCCGTGTTGTATCTGGTTACCTTTCCGCATCCCAGACATTCTCAGATCTTGAGTTTGCTGGAATGTCCGCTCAACCCCATCCCCATTCCCCTGCGGACCGACCGCGTCTGGGTGTGGATTCCTGCCCCCCCCCACCCCCCACCCCTGGCGCTGTCCTCTTACTGACGTTCGCTCTCTGTCCTGCCTTTTCTCAGCCCGAGTCGCCAGAAGAACAGTGTGGGCAACAAACTGTCCATTTTACCATCGGGCCCCCGGAGACCAGCCTGGAAACCCCTCCTCTAGCAGCCGTCCCTCCTGTCCCCAAACCCAGAACACTTCAGCCCGGGAAGGAGACCGAGAGGAGGCCCAGCAGGGGGAAGCCGGCGCCCGATGCCGCCCCTCCTGCGGCTGGAGCCGCCCCGCCGCCCCCTCTGGAGGCTCTACCCCCTGTGCCCCAGGCCCCCCCGAGGAGGAAGAAGTCGGCCCCCGCGGCCTTCCACCTGCAGGTGCTCCAGAGCAACAGCCAGCTTCTCCAGGGCCTCACGTGCAGCAGCAGTGACAGTCCCCAGGCACCCCCGCCTGACCAGGGCATGTGTTTTCCCCAGCCGGCTTGTCCTGGCCCTTCGCCTGCTGCAGGCAGCCAGGCGGATGGCACCAAGGAGACGCAGCCAGAGGCCACCTCCCTTCTTGGTGATTACCAGGATCCCTTCTGGAGCCTTCTCCACGACTCTCACCTGTTGAAGAGTGCCTGGCTTTCCAAGAGCTCTGACCCAGTGGACGCCGGGACCGGGAGCCTTGGGAGAGCGCACACAGCCCCGCTGCAAATCAGGGCCTCGGCCGCCGCCGACCCGCCGCTGGAGCACCGGCCGAACGACGTGGGTCACTGGGCGTCCGTCAGTGACCAGGACAAGCGGACAGTGCTGCAGGTGTTTGACCCGCTGGCGGAAACGTGAGCAGGACGCGTGGACGGCAGCTCTCCCGGAGGACGAGTGCCTTCCTCCCCGCGGCATCTCTCCAGGGCGCAGCCCCGAGCCTTGGCCTCACCACTGCCCCCCACCCCCAGCGGCTCAAAAGAGACCTCTATTTAAAGGCACACTGAAAACACAGTTGTCCTTCTGTCGCTCTTGTGTAGGTCACAGAAATTGTGTCTATTATTCAACAAGATGATCGTTCAGCCACCAACACGTTTTATTGCAGACGTGTGCATTTTAGTTTCCTAGAATCTGGTTAGAGTCAGCGTGTGGACTTGAGGAAAGGGAATCTAGCTGATCATGTCCAAGATGCGCGCTCTCGGTGGATTTTAAGTGGTTTTTCAATTTATGTATGTGGGGTTTTTAAAATTCTTGTTTGTATCTTACAGATATTGGGAATAACTTCACGGTGAAACACCTGAAGGTTGAGCTATAAAACTGAAAGGTGGCTGGGACCACTGAGAGCTGTATACCTGGCCTGCTGATACCAGGTTATAAAAAATAATAATAGTAAGAGTTGGACGCCCCCAATAGATCAACCAAATAGCTAGACTATACATTCCTGTGAGCCCTTGTGTTTATTTATATACATGTAAACTGACCTTGATCACGTGGGAGATGGTGTCCTACACTGTCTGGGGTCAGAAGCACATCCCATTTGCTTACTCTGATCTGAAACTGGCTGCAGACTCCTTCCTGCATCGTGTCTGGATAGTGCCTGCCGCGTACAGCACTACAGTCTTGAGCCCCCGTGTACAAGTTAAGCTGGTTTTTATGTACTGGCTCTTCCCTAAGAGAGGAAGCCTGGTGGCTTCTTTCTCCCCTTACATTCCATACCAAGTAAAAGCACACACCGTGAAACCCCATACTGGCACAGGATACTGGTCCTCGTTACATTATGAATATGTATTTTAGCCCGTCTGTCTGCCTGTGGCTTCAGGAAGGAGAATGCCCCTGTCCGATAAGAAACCCCAGGGCAGCATTTTTGGGTTTGCTTATCTATCTATTAGGTTTATTGTTTTTGCCTATACATTTTTCTATACATTTGCAACACCACTTCTTGCCCTAGTCCGTCATTTAGAACAGTATCACCGTATTAATTTACATTTTAAGAATAAGGTTATAAGGCATAGAATCCATTTAGAGCAGATACCATATTTTTGGTAACAAGAAATTCACTGGTGAAATCTTAGTGTGCCGCATACCATATTTAGGAGTTTTTAATGCCCTAGACTCCTACAGCAGTGATTCTGTATTATCCCTAATGTGACCGGAGAATTCCTGCACTAAATGCTCATGGTTAGGATGGCGATATTCATCCTGTCTGGGGGATACCACTCTCTTTTTACCTCTGGGCTTTCAGAATTATTTCTCATTACCACTATCAGGATACACTGCAGATTACTTAAATTTGGTGCTCAAAACAAAAGCAAAACCACAATTTCATCTGAAAACTAGTAAGAGAGAGAGGTATTAGTGACCCCCGGAGATAAACAGAGCATACATGTAGCTTACCAGCGGTAAGAGGTGGTGTTTCTGGCCTTCGCTGATGAGAACACTTTCTGTAGTCAGTACTTTATGTCCTGTTACCTCTCATACACACAAGTAAACAATATCATTCTTGAAGAGTTAGGGGAAGAAAGAACACAAGATGGGTCAGCGGCCCAGAGAAGTTAAATGATTTGCCAGGAATCACTTTGCAACTAAGGATAAAATTGGGAATGGAATCAAAGACTTCTTAACTCAAATGTTCTTTCCTCTGTCACCTCTTTTTCCCACCAAAAAGGAGGTAAATTTGAAAATAGGTGTATATATCACAGCAGTGACTTGCAGTGCTGGAAATTGACCTAATTTTCAGGTTTCCTTTTTATTCTAGATGCAAGTAGTCATAAGTGCAACAGAGAACAGAAGTTTAATTCAGAAAGGTGCTCATCACATAGGTAGCTCTTAAGAGTCTGACAGGAAGTATCAACACAGAATTCTTTTGCCCTCAGGAGGCAGATCACAAGAAAAATTGTCAGTAGTTTAACATAAAGAATTGAACAAATATTATGTGATGAGATGTTCAAATTTAGTGAATACCGTAGACTGAATTTTGAGGCGATCATAGGTAAGGTTCACACACCAATGTTCTCTTTAAAAAAAAAAAAGGACAATTGGAGTTGCCTTATTTATTTTTTAGATCAGTGCTTTGAGTTTGTAGGTTTCCCAGGTTCACGGCAGAGTTGGTTGAATAATCTGGACAATGAGCAGCCACCACCCTGGGGATTTCTTCCTGTGGGTTTTTTATTTTCGGTCCTTCTCTGCTCCCATAAAGGCCGTGCAGTTTCTTCGTTACTGCTCTGTAAGACGGTACAGGCCACTGCAGAGGATTTGAGGCACAGACTTTACAATGCAGCAGTGTCTCTGTGACCCCAGTTATATAATAACTTTTCCAGCATAATCTTCTCTGATTTCTTGCCTATTTTTAAAGTTTGTTCCAGTAAATGACTGAAATTAGGACATCTGCCCAAGCAATTCCTGTGAAAGTTTAAAGTTGTTGAACTCAAGATACAATAAAATTCTCCTGATACACAGAAGTACAAGCAAAGTAATGTGCTAAAATATTCACTTTAGAATGAAGCAATTTCTCAGAAAGCTGCAAAAATTATTGGGTGACTAGTGATTAATAAAAACCCTGTAATGTTTGAAGTGATAATTTGTACTGCAATTGTAAAAAATGCCTATTAAATATTTTGTTTTTTAATTTGGCTTGTTTCTTTGCAGGTATGGCGAGAAATAAGGGATATTTTTTTTGGCTAGCCTTCTCTTTTGGATGAAATGTGATTACTAGTTACTCCTCTGAGTTTGGGTCTTGGTTCCTTTTTCAACCATCTCATTACATTAAAAAAGCCTCAAACTCATAATATGGTTAAGAATTTATGACTTGAATGTTGCCAACAGGGATCACTGCCAATACTATATGTAATAACTTCATACTGCATTATCTAGAAGACTTGAGAGATGCAAGAATTCTCTTCCTATAGGATCTCATAGCAACTTCCCAAACCTTAGACTGCTAGGTTGATTTGAGTACATTGTTGTGTAGATGCAAGAAAAAGGGAGCAAACTAAGTTCTGTCCGGGTTTGTTCTTAGCTAATTACCACACTAAATATAAATGTTTTCAGATGATTTTCATGACAGGAATATACTGACCATCTCAAAATAGTAAAGCTGGCCAGTCCCTCCTGACCAGCAAGTACGATATTGAATTCATTTCATCTGAACACACAGCTCTGTGACTCGGGTAGGGAGGAAGGAAACAGCTGGTTACAGTGCCTGCCTTTTCCAAGGTAGTGGCAGAGAGATTTGAAACTCACTCTCATACAGGACAAACTGTATAAAAACCTCTATCTCAGTGAGGTAGGAGAATACAAATGATAGAAGTGATTAATTGTGAACAGAGGTCAAGGAAGATTTGAGAGGAGAGAATTAAGAATTTGACAAATAGCAAAGTGGGTCTGTATACATGGAAAAGATGTTAGCTGATGGGAAAACATTTCAGTGGACCATAAATGACTGTTTAGGATTTTATACCTACATAAATCTGTGTGTTAGATTGTTAGGATTGCAGGGTTTGTCCAGGCTAATAGCAAGTGTTCAAAGCATCTTGGAATATAGTTTATAAATGGAGTGAGGTAGGGGGCCAGCATCACCTTGCTGAAGGATAGTTATACAGTATGTACCATTTATTAAGTAACCATTTCCCTTGTTTCCTCTAATTAGGTTTCTCAGGGTTATTAAATTTTATTGACATTTTCAAATAACATTGGGATTTATATAGGCAATTTCATTTTTTCTGTTGATTTTTTTAAACATTTTTCATTCACTTCAAGTTATCTGTAATTTGACTCTTTAATTTTGTATTTTTCTATTACCCCCCCCCTTTTTTTTTTTACATTTTTTAATGTTTTTTTATTTCTGAGAGAGAGACAGCATGAGCAGGGAAGGGTCAGAGAGAGAGGGAGACACAGAATCTGAAGCAGGCTCTAGGCTCTGAGCTGTCAGCAGAGCCTGATGCGGGGTTCGAACCCACAAACCGTGGGATCGTGACCTGAGCTGAAGTCGGACATTTAACCGACTGAGCCACCCAGGCTCCCCTAGTTCTTAAAATTTATCAAGGCTTGCTCTGTGGTCAAGTGCAGTATTCGTTTTTGAAGTGTGTTCATCAATGCAGAGTAAACATTTTTTTAGTAGTAGGATACAAAATTTCTGTGTGTGAGAGAGAAGGAGGGGAGAGGGAGGGAGGGAGGGAGGGAGAGAGAGAGAGAGAGAGAGAGAGAGAGAGAGAGAGAGTGAGAGATTTGCGATGCCAATTCCTCTGTATCCCAAATGGAACAGGTCTTTCTGCAAGGCAGACCCAGGAAGGGTGATTAAGGGGATGGGTGCAGGCTCTAGTTCTCCAATGCAGCGTCCCATTATTCTTACCAAGATCCCTTAGTTTTATTGAATTAATGCTTCTTAATTTTTTTTATATAATGTTTATTCATTTTTGAGAGAGAGAACATGAGCAGGATGGGTAATGAGATGGAGAGAGAGGATCTGAAGCAGGCTTTCCACTGACAGCAGAGAGCCTGATGCAGGACTCAAACTCACAAACCACAAGACCTGAGCCAAAGTCAAACACTTATTAAGCAACTGAGCTGAGCCGCTCAGGTGGCCACCCTCAATCTGCTGTCTTTTGGTCATTCTCTACACATGTTGAATGATTGCCTTTGGTAATTGTGACTAGTTGAACAGATGCCTCTCTAAGGGGGAGGTTACCCTGTGCTCCTCATTCTCCCATTTCTTCTTCTCCTTGGGCCGTCTGTTCTGTGCCCACCAGCCTACTTGTTGATCTCTGTGCCAATACTATGTTAATTTTATTTAACTTTGATAACTGGCAAAACAAGCCCTCCTACCTCATTGTTTTTCTTGAGGCTGTCTTGGCTTTTCTTGACTCTTTGCAAGTCCATGTAAATTTTAGAAGCAATTTATCAAGTCCCATTAAAATAAAAACTATTGGAATTTTTTACTGAAAACGCATGGACTAGAATAGACATTTTTACAATACTGATTCTTCAACCTAGGAGCATAATGTATTCTTTTAAGGATTTCAGTGTTTCACAAAGTTTTAAACTTGTTAAACAAGTTTATATATTTAGTTATGTTTAGTTATTTCTATTTTTTAATTTTTTTAATTTTAATTTTTACAAATAGTTTATTGTCAAGTTCGTTTCCATATAACACCCAGTGCTCATCCCCACAAGTGTCCTCCTCCATGCCCATCTCCCCCCTGCCCCCCACACCCATCAGTCCTCAGTCTGTTCTCAGCATTCAAGAGTCTCTCATGGTTTGCCTCTCTCCCTCTCCCCCATATATATGAAAATAGAGGGAATAGTTTGAACCTTCATATGTCTGTCACCAAGATTTCATAGTAAACACTTTGCTATATTTGCTTTATATTTTTCTTTTGAAATATATTTTTAAAAATTTTTAATGTTTAGTTTTGAGTGGGGAGAGGGACAGAGAGAGAGGGAGACACAAAATCCAAAGCAGGATCCAGGCTCTGAACTGTCAGCACAGAGCCCAACGCAGGGCTCGAACTCACAAACCACAAGATCATAACCCAAGCCAAAGTTAGAGACTTAACCAACTGAGCCACCCAGGTGTGCCCCCCTTTTTTAAATTTTTAATGTTTACTTTTGAGAGGGGGAGGGGCAGAGAGAGATGGGGTCTTTTGAAATATTTTAAAGCAGGGGCGCCTGGGTGGCTTAGTCGGTTAAGTGTCCAACTTTCGCTTAGGTCATGATCTCGCGGTTCGTGGGTTCGAGCCCCGCGTCGGGCTCTGTGCTGCCAGCTCAGAGCCTGGAGCCTGTTTCAGTCTGTGACTCCCTCTCTCTCTGACCCTCCCCTGCTCGCGCTGTCTCTCTCTCTGTCTCTCTCCTAGAAATAAATAAAACATTAAAAAAAAAATTAAAAAAAAATTGAAATATTTTAAAGCAACTGTGCTATCATGACATTTGACTCCTAAATACTTCCAATATGTATCTCTAAATAACATTTTTATAACCTTAATACCATGATTATATCTAACAATCCTTACTTTAAAATCCATTTGCTATTTTTGGCTGGTGTACTTAATAAACTCTCATAAAATTCTAACAATTTACTGTATTTCAGTATACCTAACACACCACCCATATACCATGCAGTACCATACCATTATAAGATATACCATATATATACACTATTATTCTTAAGAAGGTGTTATGGCCTGAATGTTTGTGTCTCCCCAAAATTCATATGTTGAGATAAATCTTAACCCCTAAAGATGATGGCATTAGGAGGTGGGGATCTTTGGAGAGGTGCCTTAGGTCATGAGGGTGGAGCCTTCCCGAATGAGATTAGAGGTTTTTTTTTTTAAGTTTATTTATTTTGTGAGAGAGAGAATTCTACCTCCTGGGTACACATGGGGCTTAATCTCCAGAACCATGAGATTATGACCTGAGCTGAAATCAAGAGTCAGATGCTTAACTGACTGAGCTGCCCAGGCGCTCTTGGATTAGAATTTTTATAAAAGAGACCTCTCACCCTCTCCACATGTGAGGACACAGCAAGAAAGTGCCAGCTATGAGCTACAAAAAGGTGTTTTACTAGAACATGCCCATGTTGATGCCATGATCGTGGACATCCAGCCTCCGGAACTGTGAGAATAGAAGTTTGTTGTTTATAAGCCACCCAGTCTCTGATGTTTTGGGGTAGCCGCTGGAACGGATAAGACAGGCTTCCAACTTAATTACGACTGTTCATCCATTGTGAGATGCAGCCCAATTACAGATGTTAAAACAATTTTTAATGTGTCTTAAAACTGATAAAATATGGTCTCTCTAGATTCTTATGGACTTTCTATGTAGACAAGCATATCATCTACAAACACGTTTTGTTTCTTGCTTTCCCATCCCTGTACCTTTTTATGCCATTTTCTTGCCTTCTAGAGCTGGCTAGAAGATTTAGCACAATGTTACATAAAATTGTTGGCAACAGGCATTCTCCTCAAAAGGAAATGTTAATATTTTTGTTTTTTTTCTAGTTACTTAAGATATAAAGGTGGTGGTTTGAAATCTTTTTTCTTACTGTAGTGATTTGTTGCTATAAATTTCCCTCTTAGAACTGCTTTTGCTACATCCCTTAAGTTTTGGTATGTTGTATTTCCATTTCATCTCAAGGTATTTTTTCATTGATTTCTTCTTTGACCCACTGCTTATTCAGTTGCATGTTGTTTAATCTCTACATATTTGTGAATTTTCCAGTTTTATTCTTTTCATTGATTTCTAGTTTCACACCACTGTGGTCAGTAAAGGTGCTTGATAAGATTTCAGTCTTAAATTTATTGACTTGTTTTGTGGCCTAATGTATGACCTAATCTGGAGAATGTTCTGTGTGCACTTGAGAACAATGTGTATTCTGCTACCGTTGGATGGAATGTTCTGTAAGTATCTGTTAAGTCCATCTGGTCTAACATGTCATTTAAGTCCAATGTTTATTGATTTTCTGTATGATGTATATCCTATTGCAAAGCAGGGTACTGAAGTCCCAGCTATTATGATATTGCTATGCATTTCACTCTTCAACGTGTTGATATTTGTTCATATATTTAGGTGCTACGTTGGGTATGCAAATATTTACAAATGTTATATTCTCTGTTGGATACACCCTTTTACCTT